GTTACTAGTGGAGACTCGAGCAAGAGACCTCCACAGGGAGTTACATCAAGACCCTGACAGTGATCGCTACCTGGTACCCAGCGAAAGAGTCTTTGACAGCGCAGCGGATGATCTAGAAAAAAAAGCGGTATCGAAACGATCGATGAGTTTGTTACCGCAGAAAGAAGTAGTGAAGACTGATCTTCAACCCCTCAGGCAAGAGACAGAACCATTGGCGAAAATTTGGTTCGTGAAGATGGAAGATGACACGCATCAGCCCGATGAAACGAATAGTCAATTCAGGGTCATGAAGACGTACTTGAAGGCGAGATACAGACTCTCAGACCTACTAAGAGCACAAAGAAATGACCGCATGGCGAGTAACGTGAAAAGGTGGATCGAAAATAGAACACCAGACAAAGGTGACCCGGAGGAAGACAGTTACCGTATTCTGAGACAGTACTTTGTGTAAAAAGAGGAACGGTTTTATCTGAACAAGGACGGGATCGTGGCTTGTAAGAGAAGAGAAGAAGACAAAATCCTGTACAAATACAACGCGATAGTGTTGCCGCAACTCTATCAGACAGAACTTTTATTCAGGTCGCATGATCAGATGGGCCATCAGGGAATTGACAAAGTATACCAGAGGATACTGAAGCACTTTGAGTAGCTGAAATGAAGAAAGCATGCGACATCATCTAATCAGTAGGTGGATAGCGAAACACGGTTGTCCGATGACGTTTCAATTGGATAACGGGACAGCTTTCGTGGGAGAACTTAAGAAATAACTCATGAGACGCTCACAGGTGGCTCAAGCTCACTCCACAACATACCATCCCCAGAAAAATGGCTTAGTGGAGAGGCAAAATTGGACGCTGGTGTTGACGCTGAGGGTATATTGTTCCAGCTACATGACTGATTGGGACAGATACCTTCAGCAGGTGATGGGAGCTTACAACAGCACGCAAAACTCCACCACCGGAGTTAGTCCAAACATGATGTTAACTGGACACGAGAAGTCTATGCCCTTGACCTTCTTTTACCCAGTGTATGAGGGGAACAAAACATCATCACAGGTCTGCTTAAGGGATATGATTAGACGTCAACAAGAACTAAGCGACTTGTGTAGACGGACTACTCAGAAGGCACAGGCAAGGCAGAGAAAAAGGTTCGATGAAAAATAGCTGGTGCAAAAATTTACTCGGTAGGAGACTACGTATGGGTATTTCAAAACTTTACACCACCGAAAGGAACGAAAAAGCTCCTAAAAAAGTGGAGGGGACCCTTCATGATTACAAAAGTGCACCAGTAGGGACGTTTTCATAGACTTAGTACCGAGCGAGCCGCTCACTACGAAAATAATAAGCCACCAACCCATCTACGGAAGACTGGTGTATACCTGCAGACATGGAAGAGGGGGATTATATGATGATGGACCCTGCCTGTGAGGTCAATGTGAAGGGCACCAGGGAGAAGAACGATGGGATTGAGGTCGTAGTGGAGGGATCAAGTCCACCACTGGACCTGGATCCCAATGAGGTGATTGAAGCAGATGAAGAAACCTTACCCTACGCAGAAGAGGACTGGTAAGACCCCGAACAGATGGAGGTCCCCAAGAATTTGGAACCAGATCTTCCGTTTACGATACAGGCTCGACAGAGTGACAGGACAAGACTCACGAAGAAATACAATCCTTACGGAGATGACTTGGTAGTGGACAGAATAGATCTGAAGAAGATAGTGGAAGATGTGGTGGGTCTAGAGGAAAAAAATAACCCTGTCACAAGACATCGACATAGTCAACTACCGCTTCGAGGAGTGGATCGGTGACCGGCCTAAACCCGATTTAGATTTCGACGACGAGCAACAGCAACCTTAAAAACAAGACTTGACGAATGGAATGGCTGATCAAAATGACGTCGGACCCAAAGGAGACCAGTGTCACGATTCAATATTTAGACCGTGAGAGCATGAAATACATAAAAAACGAAAGAGATGATCCTTCCTGGGCAGCCCAGGAATGGAAATTACTCATTCCTGCATCCAACTTCGATTTAATGTCAGGTATGCGATCGACGATGACGTCGATGAATATTTTGTCCGGGGAGCGTGGTAGGACTTACCCACACTGAAAAATTACGATAAAAAAATTAAGAATAGCAAGAGAGACGGGTGATCTAGAAGCAGAAACAGTCGAGGACCATAAAAAACCGGACAAAGGGAGAGTTGTTGAGTCATATTTTAACTTGCCGAATGAGTACTCAGGTAGCATAGTATTGACAGATAGCGATTTTATACTTACATATAGAACATGTGCGATAGCAATTACAGCGGACATGAGTTTAGGACAGCGTTAGCAGCGAATTTTAAATCAGAATATAAAAACAAAAAAGTTATTTGGAAGCAAAGACCAGGAATAGGAGGCGCATGTGGACCCGGAAAACTTGGTCTTGTCCTTGACGAGACTGAGAGACTTCCTTGTGGAAAAGGAGGTAAAGGAACTCTCGCTTCCAGTATACGACCCGAGCCGAGGACGACTGCATCCACGGGAGCTGTATGCACTGATATACATAATCTTTTCGGATACTAACATTCAAGTACACTAACATAAAAAAATTATTTGAGTACAGGCTGAGTTTAGGTTGCATGCAGGAAGGTGTCATACTAAGTGTGTTGTGTGTGATTAACGTGTTGCGTGTGATATGTGTGTTGTGCTATGTTATAAAGACCCTGGGTAAGTAGGAATTAGTGACCATGAATAATCGAATGACGATCTTAGGATTAGATCCAAAGTTTGGAACGTCCATTCTTAGGTCGAATTCCAAAATTTTAGCAATAAACTGATTTTAATAAATTTTAAGATCAAAATCGTTTTATCTGTATGTTTTAAATAAATTTTAATACAAAATTAGAGTGACGCTGATAAATGTGATATTCGTGACCTCTTTTCAAGATCCTGATTGATCATTTAATCATTCATCAGATTTCAATTGACACAAACTGATAATCAAACCGAATTCAACGAGATGGACGACTTCGATTTGAATGAATTGTCGGACCTAGCGGAGGCATATGTAGGAAAGATGATAGATGCGATCTATCGTCGGCTGATGGATTGAGACTGATGGTCGGCTTGATAAACATCTTACGGCATGATAACCCTGGGAACTGCCCCACGGAAGTCTTATTGATGGCCGCATATGGAGAAAGAGGAGTACTAGACCGCCTAAACATGAGGGTAATGAGGTAGAGAAACGGGGCTCTCTCAGGAAGTGACTTGGCGAACGAGCCTGGATTGGGAAGTGCCAGGACCTACCAACCAGGTGAGATGCCTCTGCCAACCAAGCCAAGGCCATGTCTGAAAAGAATGCATCAGGAGATGAACAGCGAGGCTGCCTCGTCTAGTTCTAGTTCACAACTGAGAGCAGCTGTGCCACCAAAGAGGGCGAGAGTAGTAGAAGAAATTCAGACGAACGAAACCATGCAAGACCTCAACGGAACGATAGAAGAACTGGAGAAGACCGAAGGGAGCTAGATCAGGTGACTAAGACTAGGCTCAGTGTGGAAAAAGACAGGGATATGTGGAAGAAACTGTTTGAAGATTGCACCAAGAAACAGGGTCAGGAAATAAAACGCTGGAGGCAAGAGTATAAAGAGCGATCGGAACGGCTGGAGTTGACGACGGCAGTGGAAAAAGTGATACCTGCAAGGAATGTTCCTCGTGGGCTGTCCCCGATGGAACTCCTGACGCCTCGCGGACTAATTCAGACGACGAAGGTGCGACTTCCGACTACGACAGGATGAGTGACAATCCGGGACCCAAGTGATACCCTAGGTGACCCAAGATTCAAGTGCAGATTCAAGTGCGGATGTTAATAGAAACAGCTGGAGACTAGTCGCTAATAGGAATGCGCCAGATTCCTGGGTGACTGCACCCTATGGAAGAATAGACGACACGGGCAGAGTGGAAATCTCACAAGAAACGATAAAGAAAACGGGAGTTGACAGTGTCACGTTAGCAGCGAAGACATCTAGAGCCCCTTAGAGGAAAATAAGAGAAAGACAATGAAAAAATTGTCCCGAGTGTTTAACGTGCAGAAGAACAACCAGGTGAAGAATAACTTCACAGGAGTTCCGGATTCGGATCCGCGAGCCTGCTTTAAACGATCGACTTGGAGTCTGGCGATAAACATGCAACATCCGCCGCTCGGGACATCTCATTTGATACTGGGTGACAGTTTGGTGAGAGTTCTCCAAAACCTGAGAACATCTTGGATCACCACGGTGATGGCCTTTGGAGGGGCAACGATAGCCCAGCTATTTCGAATGGTGGAGCTAATGAACCCAGGAAGGAGACCTAACATGATGATCCTAATAGGGACAAACAAGGTGTTCAGAGGCTCAATTGAGGAAGAGGCACAATGGTAATCGGCGATGGTGTGCCTGTTCAATACTATTTGGCAGAAATTCAAGTGCGCGGTACTGACCGTCTGCACCGTACCAATGAGCACGAGAACGTTGACATCGTCAGGAAGGAGGCATAATGAAGGAGTCATCTGGTGGAACAACATACTGAGAAATCTGGCGAGTCGGAATGCTGGAAGGTGATCTTTATGGACATCGACCACGAGCTAAGAGCTATGGATCAGGCCAAACTAACCACCGATGGGACCCACTTTGGTCGCACATACACATCGACCAGTTCATGATGCATTTAAATGACAATTTTTGATTAAAAATTACACCGTTAACACGGAAAGCTGCTCAAACTAGTAGGTTGGAGGTTTCCGAGAAAAACTCTAGTGCTATTGTTTTTTAAATTGTATAAGCTAGTTTCTTTTTGAAATCCAAAAACTTTTCGAAGTCCAAAAGGCAGCCAGGATTAAAAGTTAACTTGTCTGAAATTTAATTTATCTTATCGAAGTATTGGCTGCCGTATTTGATCAAGAGACAGCACTAATTGACCTCGCTAATAAAAGATGTAAATTTTCTCATAGCTGGACACATTTTTTTTCAGGTTTGCATAATGGTTAAATCTTTAGTTCTGTCCCACTTTCATCGAGATTTCTGAAGTATTACTGCGTAATGGCTTCCAATAGACTTGTCGATTACTTCATTGTAATTGGCTATGACGAAGGATCTCCACGTTAGTTTCATTTATTTTCTTGATTTAAGTACAGTTAAGTAAGTTAAATTGTAAACGTGCCATATGTAAAGATTTCATCAAACGTATTTCCACTGCTCCATATTTCAATATTTTGTGTGAGTCTACCTTGCACCTGCTCAAACAACAAAGAAGTTTAAAAGTATTTTCCCTAATTGTTTTCTATGACGATTTTTTTTCTGACGATTTTTTTTTCAGTTATGACGATTATTTTTCACGAAAAAGTCTTTAAAAATTTGTTTATGCTCAACTTTGATTTTTTGGGGTTTGACTTTTGGTCTCTTTTCAAGTTCAGTTTACTTCCTATAGAAGGAAGGTAAACTCCACTATCGAATAGAGAAAGTCTAAAGGTCACGAAAAGCGTGACTGTCTTCTAGTTTCGAAAATGAAATTTTATCAGATTTTCCAGCGAAATAAAAATTTTCCTATTGACCCAGTTGTCTCAAATTGGGTTCATTTTATTCTAAATTGTTCTTGCAGTTTACTGAGCTCATATTTTTCCTTTGAAATTCAAAAGTCGAAGTTCTTTTTATAAAGATTATGTCAGTTTTTTTTTGCGTTCATCTACTCTACTCCAACTGTTTGCTGGCTATTTTATCTGCAAGTTGGTCTAAGTTAGAGAGAAAAATAGAAAAAAAAATTTAAAGTTAAGTTACTATTTCATGTTAGTTTTTCAATTTTTTACGGTTTATTTTTTCTTAAAAGGTTTCAGTTTACATTAAATTGACTCAATTGCCCAATATTGAGTCCTTTGATGGCGATAAAAGTTATGCGTGTCTTAAAGTTCAAAAATTTCGAGTTTCATAGCTCAAACTTTCTGCTTAATTACGGCTGTAAATTTGTCTTCGATGCTGCTTTGGCATTTTTTGCATCTTTTCCTCAAAATGAATTCAAACACTTCAAACAAATCTAGACGAACATAATAACATTTTGGTAGATCGAGTGTTTCTTCATCTTTTCTCGCACGATTTTTTTCGACTAAGCGGATCAGTTTCTGTCGAATAGTTATTAATGATTTGTTTGTGCTGTATCGCATGTGGTGCGAAGCTCTGCTAAGCCTATATTCCAACAACGGAATTAAAGTTGAATTATTTTGGTGATTTCAAACGCTTGTCATTGCTGGCCAATCAAATAGGTAAAACTTTGAGGGCTATGTTGACGGTTCTACTCAGTTTTTTTGTTGTTGGGATCTCGGGATTCTCCATACTCTATGAAATCTGAATATTGTTCTACTAGCACTTCTTTCAAAATATATTTGTTTTGTTTCAGTGGATTCGAAAAATTGTGGACAGGGAAAGATAGTGTGGATGTGTCCCCCAGTGTTCAATAATAAACCATTCTGGAATGACAGCTACTCTTTTCCCAGCCAGCTCGCAAAAGTAGGACGCAAATCTACTATCATATCATTAATACCTCCGCTTTTACGGAAAATAACGACAGAGCATTAGTGCTCGTGGGTGGTTTCTGCAACCGTTTTTAATAAACTTATGAGGCTTTGAAAATCGCCAATTTGGGAAAATTATTCACGCTAAGTTTTGAAATTTTCTTGTTACCTGAGCGTAGGCTGCGCAGCGATTTAATACGGCTCAGTAATCATTCCAAATGAAATTGAATAAAGCGAATTCATCTAAATGTTGCGTTAAATTGATCATACTGTTCTGTTGGTGTAAGAGTTTCTAAAAGAAGTTGAAAAATGTTTTAGTTTTTGTTTGCCAAAATGTACATCAGAAAAATTAGGGGACAGTCGGAACAAAGCTTTCTCCTTATATATGAGTATTCTTGTTCATTCATATTCTATCATTAACATAGTAGAAGTCAGTGAACCAAATGATTATTAAGTTTGTGTGGCTTTTTATGAATTTTAAAAACTTGTTCACGCTCATTTTCTATTAATATAAATTACACCCATGAACCTCGAATTTATTTGTCAAGCTGAAGTTTTTCCATCCAAGCTCCGAGAAAAAAAAGTGGCGACCATAAAATTGTCAATTGAAAGAGTTCTATGACGATGTATTTAATTCACAACTTGCAGAACTGGAAAAAAAACAGTGTTGTTTTTGCTTTTCGCCAATGAGTTCATACAAATTTCCCAACAATTTGACGAAATTTCTTCAATATTAATCAATTTTGATCACAATTTAGTTTTCGGGTTGAAAAGGATTTGGTAGTTCTAGTTTTCTATAAAAACAAGTTCTTCTAGGCGCATGCAATGACCTTCCGAAGCTTCAGGCGGTATTGAATTTTAAAAAATTGACTAAAAAAGCAAACAGTACTGACAATCAGGGGCGGATTTAGGGGGGTGGAGCTGGCGGACGCCACCCCCCCCCCCCCCCCCCGCAGGGATTCGACCCTTTGCCGACCCAAAGGGTCCCCCCTTTGGTACTTTTTAAGAAATCCATTTTTGGCCGACCGACCCTAAAATTTTTCTAAAGGCGCCAATATATACTAACTTTGAGGGGAAGCGCGCGCCAAAAAAACGCAATTTTTTTGTCAAAATTTTCCTAAAAGTGCCCAAAAACGGCTTTTTTGACTTGTTTTTTCAAAAATTTTCTTTTTAGAGCTTTAGGAGAGCTCGGAAAATCCATTTGGTCGACCTAAAAAAATCTTCAAAATTTTTTGAAAATCCGCCAACCTTGAGACCCCCCCAACCCCCCCAGCACCCGCCCCCTCCCCATCGAGAAAATCCTAGATCCGCCCCTGCTGACAATGATGCTGATTTTTTTTGGAAACATCAGTTGTTTTGAAAATTGCATGGAAGATAATGGCAATAACGCCCGCGTGTATTTAGATGTGTATGCCGCTTGGCTGGAGGTCCTCTACAATCTATCAAGAGCCCACTTACTTCTGCAGTCAGTTGACAAGTGAAACCGCGTTGGATATTACACTAGCTTGCTTCACTATGTATGAGCCGGTTAGTTCACAATGTCGTTTAACAAAAAAGTAGTGCTAGGGGCATGACGAAACGAGAGCAGGGACATTATGCCATGATTAGGGCTTTCACAGAATCAATTGATCTGAATTGATGGGTGAGGAAATTTGGACAAACGAGAACCGTTTCATTGAGTTTTGACAGAAGTTAGAAAAAAGTTTGTTTTTTGTATAGGGAGAAAGCAACCTATTGTGAAGTGGAAGATGATTGTTTGAGACAGTTTTTTTTATCATGTACTAATAAAACGTTTGCCTGAGAAGGTTGGAAAAGAACCCTATTTGGTTAAAACCGTTAATTGTATCAGTATTTTGGCAATTATTGAAATTTAAAAAAAATGGTTTTTGTATATGAAATATAGCTTTCGGTGGTTATTGAGTCTTTGTAGAAACTAATGAGTATGTTGTATGTGGGTCGCTTTGTAGATCCTCCAATTGGCAGACGAGACGTTGATTCCACGTGATGTGCAGTCGTCTCGTGCAGATGCTTTTAGTACAGTGAGCACTGCCTCGGGAGAAGACGTGGTCTACTGTCCTAAGTGTCTCATCATTCTCTCCACCCACAGATACCCAGACACGTTCAAGGTCACTACTTCACTTTCACATGATAGTCACAACTAGAAAATAATTTAAAGTTCGGACTCATTGCCATCTCAACTGCTAGTCCAAACGAGAAAACGAGTCGCTAAACGGCTTCATTGGTGCATAATTAATTCAAATGCAGCGTATCTTACTGTAAATTTGGCTCTGATGAAAATCCCATAACTTACACGACAAAGGTTTTGAGCGGATTGAAACCCCGGATCTTTGTCGTTTAGTATTGTTTTTCTGCACGTTGACTACGGCGAAATGGATGGTATACCCTCCCCCCACGGTGCAGGGCCGGGGGTTAAAGGAAACAGTGCAGGGCGAAAGATTGTCTGCTGAATTTTTGCAGGCTTAGTTGCCACAGCGCGGACTTATCTCATAGTTTAAGCAAATGTTTTTATTATTGAAATTCCTTTCATGTAATCGACAAGGTTGCAGGTAATTTCGTTCCTAAGAAGCTATGATTTCAGGAAGATTTTTTGTAGTTTTTTTATATTGTCTTCTCATTCTCTACTAAGTACAAAGGAAGCAATCAATGGAGAAGTTTTGAAATTATAAATATATTTGATTAAAATAATTAGGAGTATTTTGTAGTTTTTTGCCCCTTAATACTGGCATTTTTGTCGCAAGTGGCGCGAAGCTCCACTTCGCCTTAGTGTTTAATTATTGAAATGATGCATTACTGATTAACTTAAGCTCCTGAGTAGTTGTGCTCAGTGTGTTTTGAGATCACTGTTGTTGTCAGTTTTGTTCATGTTCGGCTTTTTTGACTGCTTTTACTGGACACGCTTAACTGCTTTGGTTAAATTCGTTCACGCGTTCACAACTGGTTTCTCGTGAACTTCGAATGCCGATATGGTTTTATGAATTATATAAAACTGTTTTGTAAGTGATTGTCTAGCTAGGCATATCGGGACCAAACTTTTCATGCCAAAAAGGGACCATACTTTTCATGTCAAAAAGGGACTTAACTTTTCATGCCAAAAAGGGGACCATACTTTTCATGCCAAAAAGGGGCCAAAATTTTCATGCTAAAAAGGGACCATACTTCTCATTCCAAAAATTGACCAACGCTTTCATGCGAAAAGGCACAAAGTTTTCATGCCCAAATTTTAACAAATTTGGGCATGAAAAAAAGGCTCCAAATTTTAAACAATCGAAAATGATATTGCAAATTTTAATTCTCATACTTTGGAGTATGTACATTAATTAATAAACGCTTTATTTCCATTTTCTGGTGCTTCAGCAACGAAACAAGTAAATAAATCCATTTTAAAATTGAATTGAGGCAAGCAAGTTGATCCGAATAATAGTTCATTAGACGTAATCTATTTCTGAATTCAAAAGATCCAGAAATTTATATGCCAATTGAAGGTTTTTTTGCTTATTGCCGTTGATCGATGTATTACTTTTGAACGGGATTCCCTCCCTATAAAATTACGCTTTCATATTGCAAGTTCTGGTGGCTTAAAAATTAGCAGGAGATATTGATTAAATACAATCCGCTACTATTCGTTCAATTACACCTAAAAAACATGTAGCGGCGGAACATGTTTTTAAGTGCAACTGACGGGATTTGCGTGTTTTACCTATATTTAGTTGGTGTGCTTGCCGTTTTGTTTTTTTTTGAGGAAAAAGTTATTTACGAAGTGAAGATTTACATTTAGGTTGTTGCGAAGATTTTTAATGTTGTGATTTTTTTGCGGTTTAGTTGATTTCTGATTTTTTTTAATTTCAAAAGCATTTGCTAAAAAAAATGCAAAGTACGTTTCCTAATTACTGAAATGAAAGTTGCATAAAAACGTGATTACCCTAGCGTCAGCTTAATGTATAATTTACGAATTTTTTTTTTCTAACCTAACTCGCTTAAGTGTTCATTAAAAGTGTTCAATTATTTGGAAATTTCACTGTGGTATTGGAATTTGCATAGCATCTGTTCTCTGCTTTATTTGTGACTAGAGTTTGGCTATTAACTATTAAGCTTCCGTGGCTGAGTGGTTTGGGTTTGGGACTCTTAGTCTCTAGTTTGCAGGTTCGAATCTCACACAGAGCCGAATTTTTTGCTAATTCGAGGCTTATTTCTACTTTTTTTTATTGCACTTTATAGAGCTGCTTTTTTGTCGTGTTCTCGCTAGTGTTTGCGAAGCTTCGCTTCTGTGTTGATTTTTAGGTTCGAAATTGGCATTTAATTTTCAGATTTCCCAGCGATACAAAAATTTAACAGATTGATCCAGTTGTGTCAATTTAGTTAATTTTAATACAAAAAACTCCTATCAGAAATTGTTCAAAAAGCTTTAAGGCCATATATTTTTTTACTTCGAAGATAGAAAATTGGAGTTTTTCACAAAATTTAAGTCAGTATTTTTTTCTGGTTACTTGCGTTTTTTGACGCTTTTTCAACTTTGTTGGCTATGTTTTCAAAGAGAGTCAATCATTGAAGATTCTGGAAATTCACTGAGCTACATGATACTGAAAAGATAATACATTTTTTTGTAACTCGAAATTTGAATTTTTCGAAAATAGTGAATGAGTGCTTTTTTTACTTGATGTGCGCGTTACGTGGATCAAACAGGTAGTAGAAAAGCTTAAAGATCCAGCAAAGTTACTTCAGGCAAATGAATGAGCAGTCGGATCATCAGGGGTTTCCTTAATAAGTGCAGTCCTTATACAAAATATTAAGCGTAAAGTCTGTTGGTTCTTTATGTATTGACAAAGAATTCGCATATGTTTCAAGGAAATCAGCACTTGGCTTTTTCAAGATAATTTTAGACTTCCATTTCTTCTATGATGCTCACATTGCGCGTTCCAATAAAAAACTGGAAATGGGAGAAAATTTTGTTGACGTAGCTTAAACAATTCGCCGTTGATTGGAATAAATGTCCCATTGTTTTTTTTCCAGTTTTTCAATGAAAACAGAATTGTCCATCATTAAACTTTGAAATTTGAAAGCGCTTGTAAGTGGTGGAAAATTTTCTAAGAAATATGGCATGTAATTTGATTTTCCCCCAAATTGTGTGAGCTTTTATTTACTTTGAACTGTGGTTACTGCTTTTCTAACTGAGTGCTGATTGTTTTTTTTTCTTCAAAAATCGCCGCTTCTGTTATGTCGAAAAGTGGCTTTAATGTTTCCGATTTCGATATAGACGTTTTTCCGAATAGTCTTCGAATCTCCTATGGAATCACATTAATTAGTTGTCTATTTCATGTCCAGCAAATTCTGTGTCAGCTGTACAACATTGGCATGCGGGGAGGAGATGCGTCATCATCCTCTGGGAAGGAAAAGAGTCTCTCCAACATCGAGACTGCAGTGGCCAATCTGATCGGATACACAGACGTGCCTTCAGCTAGACTAGGTAATGGCTCAGCAATAACCCCACCCCACCCACCTAATGTTTAAATATTTTAACCCCCAATATGATGCACGCTCAAGCTCATTGACCTAAAGCTTTGCTATCCCAATCCAAAAAAATGACAAGCAGCTACATCGGTTCCACAAAATCGGCTGCTTCCTTTTCGTTGTTTTAAGACAGTGCTGGGACCTATAGATCTTCAATATTGTTTTACTATTTCGTTTTCCCTGCCACTAAATGTAACACTGTTAATACCATGGTCAAATTTATCGAGGTAGTCTTTGGAACCTGATTCAGACTTAATAAAAGTTGATTTTGGTAAGTTTTTTTTTGGTTATTCCTTTAAAACAAGCTCTAGTTATAGTAATTGCCCCGAATGGACAGTTTTGATGAAATTGAAATTTACAGACAGTGCACTGAGCCAGCAGTTCGAACTGCTACGAGGTCTTCCACAGCTGTCGTTTGTCGTCCCCAAAGACCTGAAGATCCCAGTGACTGGGAAATCGGTACTGGAGTTCTTCAACTGTATTGGCACTTTCAACGCCCTGGCCATTGTAATCGGAGTGCTGGCAGGGGCCAAAGTCATCCTTAGCAGTGTGTCTCTGACTAAACTGACAGAGTCTATCCATGCAGTAATCTCTCTCCTCTACCCTCTCCAGGTGGAACACGAGGGCAGTGACGGCAGACCAATATCGCTCATGTCGTAAGTTGACCCATTCCTTTGGCTATTCGCCTGATCGAATGGCTGACTTTCAACCAATCCACGTCCTTTAAATTGTCTAAAATTCATTTATTTTTTAAGTTTTAGTGAACGAAGTTAATTATCACTTAATTGAAATGTTCAATGCTGAAGTCACATTGGCTTGGCTAATATATTTTAAGGCCTTAACTTATAAGCTAAGTGCTTGTGAACAAAGTTGTTTATCACTTAATTGAAATGTTCAATGCTGAATTCGCATTGACTTGGTTGATATATTTTAAGGCCTTCGTTTTTAAGTTAAGTGTTTGTGAACAAAGTTCTTTATCGCTTAATTGAAATGTTCAATGCTGAATTCGCATTTGCTGGTATAGCCTAAGGCCTTTTAAGCGTCGTTGAACGTAGTTCAGACTTTTATATAGGTCGCGATGGTTTTTTGTTATTTTTTTCGTTTTTTTTTTCAGGAAAAGTTTTAAATTTTGTTCAGGCTCAAGTTTACTTTTTCGCGGTTTGACTTTGGTTTTTTAAAAAAAATTCAGACGATTTCCTTTAATTTAAAAGAAATGCAAACTCCACTATCGAACTGCAAAAGTGTAAAGGTCACAAAAAATATGGCCTATTTCTAGTTTCGAAAGTGGAAATTAATATAAGTTTTCCCAGCGAAATAAAAAATTTTTCCTCGTTGATCCAGTTTTCTCAAATTAAATTGGGTTACATTGCTGGTCGAAAAAAATTTTGTGCTAAAGCAATGTTGGGCTTCACAAAAGACTGTTTTATGAATTTTTGTTTTGTTTTTTATTTTCTCGAAAAATGCAGTGTCAATTTTGAGATATAAAATAAACGTATAAGTTTTAGGTGTATCCTAAGGAATATTTGACACAGACGCATTTGTTGGACTTCGTTCAGTTCGGAAATGAATTTTGGTGCCAATCTGAATTTTGGTAATCAATCGAATTGAGATGTTTTTAAGGACTCCCCTGCTAAGGCGTTTTCTCAAAAGTTCTGTGTTTCTGACAGAGTATCAGGTTTAAACATTTTGTTTCATTGTTAAGTGTCTAAAAACGTAGTTCAGTCTCTTATATAGGTGCTGATGATGTGGTTTTTTTTTCAGGAAAAGTTTTATTATTTTGTTCAGGCTCAAATTTACCGTTTCGCGGTTTGACTTGTGATTTCTTTCTAAGTTCATTTTATATCCTTTGCTGAAAGGAAGGAAAACTCCTCTATCAAACAGCAAAATTGTAAAGGGTACGAAAAACGTGATCAAATTATGCTTTCGAAAGTGGAACTTAATTTTCAGATGTTCCTTCCAGCGGAATAAAAACTTTTAATTTTTTGATCAAGTTTCCTCAAGTTGAGGTAATTTTTTATCAAAAATGGTCAATCATAACTTTTTCCAGAAATTCAAAGAGCATTAAGGACCTCGATTTTTTTCTTTGAAATTAGAAAGCTTTTTTTTTCTTTTTACTTGCGTTCATTGACTCTTTTCCAACCCTCTGTTGGCTATCTTAAAATACGCCTTACCTTTTGCATTTTAGCATTTGGTGGTTGGTCATCAAATCGATATATGAGAAACCCGAAAAATGACAGATCATACCAGTAAACCGAAAATTAAGAATTCATTTACGCAATATCATATCACATTAAGACAGATATATACAAGGAGACAAAAAATTTTATAAAAAAACTCATGCCATGAATTGCAGTTGAAAAATTATTGATACAGCTTACGAAAAATTGATTTTGATTCTGCAATTAGTAAGTTATTTCGTAGTTCGGTTAAGCGATTTGGTAATTTACACCTCGATTTGCTGAACGCACGCTAAACATTTTCCTTAAATTTGTCAAATAAATACCTCCAGCTCTATTTTTTTCTTGCGACCATGGCGCAAATGCGAGGATATGAGACTCCTAATCTACAGGTTCAAGGTTCAATTCCGCACATCAAGTTTTTTCGGGGCTTTTTTCTATTTCAATTTCTTTGTTGCGTTCTAGAGCTACTTTATGCCGTTTTCTCGCTTGTGTTTGCAAAAGTCAGTTCGCCTCTGTTAGGAAATTTGGTTTGACTTTTTTTTGTTTCGGCTCAGTAGGCGTGTCCAAATATTAAAGACTTAGTTGTCGCTCGCTCTGTAAATAATACTAACAGCTTATTAAATTATGGTGATTTCTCGAATTTTTATACACTTGCGAGAGCAAGTATTTTGTAATCGGGAACTAGACTTTATCCCGTAAACAACTTTTCGTGCACAATTTTAATTGAAATTGAAATTGCTTTTTCATCGTTTCTTAGCAATTTCTGTGCCCCTGCTCACTTAGCTCTGAGTTAATACGATTGCCTTTGCGCCCTGTAGTTTGAGTTTTGAGTTCCGACCGGACCTAGTTTTTTGCAATCTCTGAAATTAAAAATGAAATTTATCCGGGAAAAATTGAACAGTCGGACTACAATTTGTCGGCTTATGTTTTGTCGGCTTAGTTGCCACACCGTAATTTTTTCTCTGAAAGCACGTGTTGTCAGCTTAGTAAACGTTTGGCAAAAAATTAAAGCGTCTCTAATGCTAGTGGTTGTTTTTCTCATCTGTTTTCTGAGGTTGAATTTTCAGTATTTCCTAAAACGTTGTTGATATTTTTATAACAACAATTTCCTTTGTATATTTTTGTTCTCGGATCAGTTGGCGTTTAACGGCGCGTCGTCGGCTTAGTGATTACTCGAAAAAATTGAAAAATTGTTTAATGCCTGTTTGGCTGTGTTTTTGCTATGTTTTTTTGAGATTGAATTAATCGCATTTTCAAAAGAAATTATTGATTTCAACTTTTTTACGATTTTTTTTGGCATTTTTTTTTGTTTTCGGACAAATTGATCATGAACCATCGGCTGTTGGCCTAGTGAACTCCCGGAACTTAATACAAGCTTCTTTAATGCTAGTGGTTATGTTTCCGTCTATTTTTCTGAGATTGAACTTTTAGGATTTCCAAAATGTTTGATATTTTTTGTGATAACAATTTCCTTAGGCATTTTTTTGTTTTCGGATCAATTGGCCTCTAATCACGCGTTGTCGGCTTACTGAACGCTCGGAAAATACTAAAAGACTGTTTAATGCTAGTGGTTGTGTTTTTCGTCTGTTTTTCTGAGATTGAATTTTTCGTATTTCCAAAAAACATAGGTTTTTTTCTACAACAATTTTGTTTGGCATTTTTTGTTTTCTGAGCAATTGGCGTCTGATTTCACTGCCTATTTGTGCTAGCTTGCAATATTACGCTTTCGTTGTATCACAAGTGACGCGAAGCTCCGCTTCCCGTTTTTTTTAATTAGCCCCCGGCCTGCTCATTGCAGGACCAACCGTGGGGGATGGAGATGTCATCCATTTCGCCGCACCATTTTCGGTAGCTTATATGCTGAAAACATTTTTGAAAATCGTTTTTGAAGTTTCATCATCATAACAACTCCGGATTTTGTATTGTGTTATGTTACAGGACAACGCGTGTGCCAGTGTTGCCGCACGAGATCCTCCGTTACGTGAACTCTCCCTTTCCTTACATCTACGGAGTGCACAGCTCCCTCATGGAAGAACTGAGAAGCCAATGTGATTCGGATCTAAGTGACATCCTTATAGCAGATCTGGACAACAGTGCCGTGCAACTGCCCAAAAACGACAATGAATTGTGCCTACCTGAGAGGGTACAGACTCAAGTCCTTTCTCAACTACAATCTGTGAGTTCATATTATTGGGACGGAATCACGTGTATCAGTACATCGTATGCACGAATAATGCTTAGCTTGATGGTCAAACAGACGCAAAAATTACTTCTTTATTAATTTGTCTCGCTTTTCGGAAAGTTCTGCTTTGCAACTTGATAGTTTGCAAGCTTTCCGCTCGTATATTTTTCATGTCTACAGTGTATTATGTTTTTCCTTGTATCTGATTTCCAGTATGTCTTCTGGAAGTCTCAGAAATTATCCATCAAAACACTTCAGGACGTCTTCGCTGTATGCTACAATATTAAGTCAAATGTGCTCACTGTCGGGTTGTTTTAGATTCTTGACCCCAATCTACAGGACAGGGACAAAGCCTTCACGACGAGCCTCACCGAGAAATCAAACTCAACCTCAGATTTAATGAGCAGCAATCGCAAACCAGAATCCATAGTGAGCACTTTTTATGTCACATTGCTATGTATTTATTTGTTTTCACAAAATAAGATTGAAGAGAAAATGACTGGTACATGAATGAAAATGCGAATTGCAGGCTTGGCTTCCATGGCGGTTTTACTTCCATCTAGAATTTTTGAAACGAAATGTTTTAACCATGATTTCAATATTGTATTCCCAAATTTTTGATTACCAAAAATTGGGTAGCGGCAAATGTATGGTCGAGAAATGGCGCTGGTTGTTAGAAAATAATTAAGAATCTTGAGCGAAGTGAATACTATTATAGTTCTTCGTGATGTTTTTTTTTACCAGGAAAACTTCTTAAAATTTGTTCACGCTCAATTTTGATTTTTCGCGGTTTGACTTGTGTTTCTTTTTAATTCAGTGCATTTCTTTTGTTAAAAGGAAGGCAAACTCCACCATCGAACAGCGAAAGTGTAAAGGTCACGAAAAACATGGATTTCCAATATAGATTTCAGTTATCAGATTTCCCAGCGAAATAAAAAAAGTTTACCTGTTGATTCATTTTTCTCAAAATGGGTTTTTTAATCAAAAAATATCAGTCATAAATAGTTCTAGAAATTTAAAAAGCTCCAAAGCCAAATATTTTTTACTTTGAAGATCGAAAATTGGAGTTTTTCTCAAAAATTTAGTCACTATATTTTTCTTTTTCCTTGCGTTTATGACTCTTTTACTACTGTCTGTTGGCTGTGTTTGTTTTTGGCAGTTTAATATCTTTTGGAAGTAAATCGATGCTAATATATTGTCATTCTTGTTGCACGAGTTCTTTCTTTTGTGAACTTCTTATGATGTTAGTATCGATGATTTATTTGAAGCAGTTAGGGCGCCCTAACAATTTGTTCATGTCATCGGGGGGAGCTTTGAGTGGGCCCGGTTCCCCCTCATCCTCCCAAACAGGGGTTGGTAATTCCCACCACTCAAAAGAAGCTCCCCGGGAGCTGCAAATGGTATGTGTATTTTAATTGGTTGATAGCAAATTTCTGCCTCTGAAGTGATATAATGAGCGCCTAATATTTTCTAAAGCTTAGCATAATTTAAAAAAAAAAATTAAATAAAGGGCCTAAATTTGCTATTCATTGCAAGACAACCATCGAGATATGGCCTGTGCTGCTCAAGACAAAGGACTTGTTGCATCTCAAATACTCTTCATTAAAACCATTCATTAAAATCACTATCAGGGATATTTAAGTAGCGCCCATAATATTCAAACTTTTCGGGACCAGGTAATATTAACAGTGGATTCTCGAAGAGTGCATGTTTAAACACTTTCCTTCATAAGCAATTAGATAACATAAAGATGTGCAAAAAGAACGTTGAAGTTCAGCGGTAATGTGCAAAAAGTGTAGCTCCCAATTTTTGCATGTCTGGTTGGCGGAACAATAATTACACAGCAAGCACGAGTTAACTTTTTCACACAACCAACTCGATCAAATTAGTGGTAATTTTTTTTTGCTCAGATCGTGTTGAGTTTTTCATTGGCTATATTACCGGTCCCGATTTAACTCAACCCTATTTAATTATAACATATCGTTTTAATTCGCTCACAGTAATTTGTGGCTTGCTTTGTTTGTGGTACAGTAACTTACTTCGTGGTTTTGTTTAATTAAAACAACAAATAATGAAACCAATCTCATTCAAGTAGCAGGAAATTTTAAAAATAAAAATATGAACTCCTCATTTTTTCAATCGAAATGAATTTTCTTCATTTGGGTCGTGCAATTTTTAAGGTTAATGAAAGAGGTGAATTTCCACATTTTTAAGTAGTGAGCCTTTTAAACTGTTCATGAACGAAGTAAATTGTCACGTTAAATAAGCGACATTGAAAATGCTTTATAAAGAACTAGAGTGCTATTATTTCTGAATGAAATTGTTTGAAAAAATTGAATTCTTGAAAAAATTAGTCTTCAATTTTGTCCGTTCTTTTTATTGCAGCTAGAGTTTGAGTTAAATAAAACTGATGTCAGAAAAAAGTTCCAGTGTTGATCCAAATAAAATTGGTATGTAGATAGTTTATCGATGAAATTTTTGTTGTCAAACTTCTGATCTTAAAAAAGCTTATTTTTTCCGGGTAATTTGGTTAAAAGAAGGAAAAGCTGTCTTATCTACAATTTTCTAAATTATTACTCTAACGAGCTAAGGAGCGTAGTGTTTCAGTATGTGTCTGCTTTTTTCCAATCGAACTCATGGCACTTTGCTGTAATCACAATCTGTAGGTAGCATTGAAGATTTTCTAGAATGTTTTCTGCTTTATTCGTGGCTAATGCTGGCGGCTCGTTAAGTCAACGTGGCACAAATGGAAGGACGTGAAACTCGAATCTATTGGTCGGAGTTTCAGCTCCGCTCTTAGCATTAGTTTTATTTAAATTTGGTGGCATTTTTGCCGCATAACATTGCAATTTATTAGCATCCATAGCTGCATCATATGTGGCTAGCTTTAGCCAATTTCAATGGCCTGTGGTGAAGTTGCGAGAACGTGACACTCCTAATCTCGAAGTCACAGGTTCAAATCCGAAACACCAAAAGTTTTACTAATTCGTGTCTTACTTCTACTTTGTTATTTCACTCTGTAGAGCTGCTTTTTGTCGTTTTCTCATCAGTGTTTGCGGAGCGCAGCTTCGCCTCTGTGTAGAAATAAAAATATGGTGTAATTTTAAGGTAATATTTTTCCTGCGAAGCCCAACGTTTGAGGAAAATTAAATTTTTGTCGATTTTTCAATTTCGTTGAGCTTTTTAATGCTTTTAACTGTGTTGGCTATGATCTGATTTTTTTGGTTCTTATGGCGCATTATTTGTGTGATGTTGCATCGTTTGTAAATCTAAATAACTCTAACGGCTTAACGTTATCGTTGAATTTTTAGGCCAACTCATTGGTAGGTATGAAACGCCGTGTTGTGGTTGTTACGTGTTTCCTGGCACTTAGAAAAAAAATAGCTAGAAATTTGATATCCTGCACGTTAATGATCCGGTTTTACCTAGGGATTAACAGCCCGCTATTTGATGTTTAGAAGTAAACGTGCACCTCTGTATTTTGATAGTAGGAAATTTTTAGCTGGGTGTTATGATTAATATGGGTTTCAGGACAAGCAAATACGAGCCGTGTTTATGCAGCTGCTGGCGCACATAATGCACAAATACAGACAGTGTCTTGTTGTCGTCAGGGTGCATCCAAACCCAGTGCTCAAACTGGACAAAGTAAGAATTCAATTGACATCAATTGTGTAGATTTCAGTGTCAAGTTCACACAAGAACTTTTCAAATTCGAAGCTACACCCTGGTTGTGTCTGAGAATAGCTTCTTTTTTTGAGACGCCATAGAAAATTGTGTGTGTGCGTGTGTGTGTGTGTGTGTGTGTGTATGTTGCGACCACTCAAGAAGTTGGAAAAAACTATGGCTCAGGGCAGGGGTGGATCTAGGGTTTTCTCGAGGTGGCGGATTTTCTAAAAAAATTGCAAATTGCAAATTTTTGAAAAAACAGGCCAAAAAAGGCGTTTTAGGTTTTTTTTGGGAAAATTTTGACCAACAAATGGCGTTTTTGCGGAGCGGGCTCCCCCCTCAAAATTACTATGTATTAGCGCCTAAGGCGTCTTTAGAAAACTTTTAGTGTCACTCAGCCAAAAATGGATATCTCAAAATAGTACAAAGGGGGACCATTTGGGTCGGCAGGGGGTCAATTTTACTCAATTTTATTCTCATTCAATTTTTCACGTCGTTTTAGATATGATTATTACATCTCACTCTTGCAGTTTTCTACCTGCGTGCTCTTTAAAAAAATTAAGAGGAAGTATTTTTTAAAAATTCTGAAAGTGGTCAGGTCAGAAATTTCTAAAAACTACTTGCAAAGCAACTGGCTATCATTTTTTCATGTGCGTGTAGCGTTAATGTATTATAGCGAAATGGATTCAATTTCCTCCAGCATTGCTGATCTAACTAAAATTGAAATGTCTTTGTTCAAGGTCGATTAATATATGATATTGAAGCCCTTTCAGTCCTGATAGGAGCTTCATTAAAAATTCCAGCGTTTTCTCAGCGTTGAAAATGTCTTGCGAATGTTTTTTGTTTTTCAAATAATAATTAAAGCGAAGATAAATTTGTTGGAAAGCCACCGGAAATAACCTCCGTACACATGCTCAAGAATGATTTTTTTCGCTTTTTAGGCTGTTTTTAGTTTATTTTTGGGCAAATGCAAAAAAAATAATCTTGCTTGATTTTTTGTGCTATTTGGACAGTAGTCGGATATTAAATGTTTTGTTTTAGTTCTCTTTTATGAAAGCACGACCTGACTTGGAGAAAGTGTTTCTGGAAATGTTTCTAAATGACAACATGCTCTTCAAGAACTTTATCGAAGCAAGGGGATCTCCATTCCGATCTGTAGACTTGATGGACCACGTAAATTTTTCATTGATACTTAGAAGCATTTTTTTGTCTGTTAATAAGAGTCGTTGAACGTGGTGAAGACTCTTATATAGGTCTTTTTTTCAGGAAAAAGTCTTAAAATGCTTTAATAACTACAGATGTGCATTCATACATATTAATACATTTATGAACGCATTTAGGTATGTATGCAGTTTTTGAGTTTTAATTAAATTCATCAGCTGAGAGTCTTCTGGCCAATGATGTTAAAGAGAATAAACTGTCTGATGGCTATGTTTAGATCTTTTCTTTCGTTTAGATGATCGATTCTGAGAACCTAGAGACGTTTTGCAACTCAAAGAACTTCACTAAGAACACTTTCTATGAATCGATCGAAGACCTGGCGCGCTTTCTGCTTCAAAATGTTGGTTTAGCTGTTTAAAATTTTGGTCACCAAACTTCATCGAAAAAAATGTGAATTAATTTCGTCCGTTTAGGAGACGCCTTCTACGGCACCTTCTTCTGTGTCTGTGAATCCAACCAGGCGCTGGGATGTGAATTACGTCTTCCCAACAGACCTGAACACTCAAGCAACTACTTCTGCAATCAAAGAGGGAATCGAGAAAAGGAAGTCGATGTCCTTCAATGGTTCCAAAAAGTCTAAGATGTCAACATCTTTATCCTCCAATGAGTTGTGCATCGTTCCTGGAACTACACCAGGAGACGTTACGAGATCCGTGTTTGATTTAGACACGCTTGGAAACTGGGCTACTGTCAATACCGTTCAATTGCCCGCAGTCAAGGTATTTATTACATTTTATTAATAAACGTGAATAATACTAAAATGCTGTAAAGAATTATGGCTGTAAACTAATTGTTCATTAACTGATAGTTTTTTTATTTGTATTTCAGAAACGCCTGGACGGGCTCGAAAAGTGCATCAAGAGTATATTCGAAGGGAGAATCAGTGACGTCTACTCGGGTTTGGACGCCTCACTCAAGATCCTGAACAGCACTTTGAGTGCGAAGCGACTGCTAGTCCACAGACTGCGCGAACACGTAATAGACACGCAGAATGACTCGATGAGGCCTGTGGAGCTGAATGTAAGGCTTCTCCACTTTCTGTCGCAGTTGGTGAATGAAGCACTCGTGTTCGAAGATGGAACGGAGGTTGATCACGACATCGTGCGAGGGGTGCTGAGCATCGCTTCCTGCTATTACTCGGTAAGAGATGAGTGTGCTTTTTTATCCTTTCCTGAAAAAGCCTAGGGGGCTCAATAAATACTCCTTTGAAGAGCGTTGTTAATGATTACTCTTTGTGTAAAAGTTAAATGTTATACTAATGCGACTGTTATTGGGTGTTTAGTGGCTGAATTTAGTAAAAGAAAGTTTTCAATGAACATTTTACTACTGTACATTTTATTCAATAGTTGAGATTCGACGTTTTTGTCCTTGGATTTAAAGATCACAGGAGCTTAAAAACTATTACGATAGACCTCGACTTAACTTAATGTTAGGTTCGAAAAAAACAATTGGCATGAGTGTGAAAGTGGATGCACTATAGTAGGTTGTGCACGTACTTTCCATTGCTTTATTAACTAACTTAACTTGCGTTGACTGTTATTCGTTGAAGAGATTCAAGATGGACCATCATGGCACTCTGATGCGAGGAGAGTCGCCGGCCAAAAAGGTTTGAGATTGTTTGTCTCTGCCTCCCAACCCAGCTGCTGCCGATCTGTGTATCTTGTCACTGTACTAATTATTACGACACGAAGTAGCTCCGAATGTTGCAAGAAATGCAGATTACTAACTAAATCTAGAGTCTTGACTGTTGACATGACCAGAGCCTCGATTTAGATTAAACTCTTTCGTGTTTTCAAGGTATTTGACCTGATTTATTTAACTGACTTGGCAAAAGAGTAATGGCTGATTACTTTTTACTTGTAGCTCAGTAAAATGCAAGCCTCGGGCATTGTGCCCGCCTTATCACAGCACTGCGCGAAAGTTTGGCTTTGCAGTTTGACGCATCTGAAAACGTTTTGCGTCCCAATGTTTCCGAAGGCCTCTAATTTGTGTTGCTTCAATGATGTTTAGAGGCTAAGCATGCAGAATTTCTCGCAGATGCAGCAGCACATGGCGAAGACTCAAACTAGTACTTTCGCGGGGGGCATTACCGAGCTGGAGTGTCCGCCGCCTACGAGACTGCCGCACCAGTTCCTCTGCACTCTAATCCAAGGGCATCCAGTGTGGCACTCGCACCAATTCTGGATCCACGCCTTTTACCTAGACGTGGAAAAGCAGCTGCACAAGATGTACACCCGCTTCGGATCCCACGGAGAGAAGTTACCAGATGAACGCAGTACTATACAAAGAGTGGCCGACCAGGTATTAATAGTTGCTATTTTTTTTGTTAGAGCAAGTGACTTGTAATTGGGAACTAGGCTTTTTGTCCCGTAAACAATTTTTCTCACTCATTTTCATCACTTACCATTATCAATTTATTACACTTCGATTCTGCTGGCCTGCTCAATTTCTTGAAAATTAAAATAAAACTACTTCTTAGCTCTTTTATGGTATTTATTAATTTTTTTCAATTATATGTATTGAAAATTATTGATTTTCTCAGATTTGCGGTTTTCGTCCTAATTTCTGTTGGCTGATTTTCCATTTTTTCCAATGCAGTTAGTATCTGGTACGCTTTTCAAGCTGTTTCTTTCCAAAGCTTATGTTTGTTAATTTTTGATTCGAATAGTTCCTGTTTGATTACACTTGCGAGCTTGCGACCGTTAGCGTATTAGTTAGAACCTTCTTTTTTCTAACCTATTTCGCAAATAAAAGTATTCATTTGAAAAGTTCACTTAGATGGAAATTTCACTGTACCATTGGAAATTGCATAGCATCTGTTCTCTGCTTTAATTGTGGCTGTTATTTGTCCTTAGTTAAGCGTCCGTGCCTGAGTGGTTAGTGCATGAGACACATAATCTCTAGATTGCAGTTGGTCGTGAGTTGAAACCCGAGACGTAGACGAAGTTTTACTAATTCGAGGTTTATTTCTACTTTTTTCTTTTGCTCTTTATAGAGCTGCTTTTTGTCGTAATCTCCATAGTTTGCGAAGCACTGCTTCGCTTCTCTGTAAAAACGGATGTTCTGAAAATGTATGGGATTTGCATAATCTGGTACACCTTTTTGTTAAAAAATGTTATAACACTCGGAAAAATCAATTTTGATTATTTTTGTAACCACTTTTTGGAATCTTTTTGGCTTCCCTACCAAATAAGAGATTAAAGATTTGGTATATTGAGTTAACTGGTTGTGAAAATGTATGTCCATGGAAGCTTCCTAAATGTGAATTTTTCAACGTTTTCCGAAGTTTTTCAAAACTTTTCCTTCTCGAAAACTACCCTGACAAATCTGATATTTATAGTGCAATCGCAAAATCAGCTTATGGGAATCTTTTCGGTGTAAGTGGCCTTGCAGTCTCGGGTTCGATCAGAAGAACATGTTTCGGGAAAACTCTACCCCGCCCAATTTCATTCTAAGTTCATTTGTAAGAACGGGTAACAGGTGTCTCCACTACAATCGCGACTTAGCACTTATGTTATTAGAAAAATAACTAAGGTTTTGAGTTTTTTTAAAAGATTTCATCCCTCGTCAGTAAAATATAATCTAAAAAAATCAAACATACCTCCAGTTATAGCTGGGGCTCTTAGTCTTACTTATAATTGAAAGTTGTTCTGTAGTTGTCTTACTTATAATTGAAAGTTGTTTTTGATAACTAAGCTCCGTTTTGCCAATGTGATAATCAACGAAAATGACCCTTTTTCTTTTGCAGTATGCTGCCACACCAAATCGAGTCGATGAACGTAGCGAAAATTCTTTAAGTAGGTCGTGATGATTTTCGTTGGTTTGACTTTTTTGTTTCTTTTCATTTTTTGTGTTAAGGAAGGCAAGCGCTGCTATCAAAAGGAAAGTGTAAAGATGACGAAAAACGCTAAAAGCTTCAATTATAAATTGTTTTAAGAAATTTGTGGAGCTTTAATGCCATTTATCTTGTTCTTTGAATTTCAAAAGTTCAGTCAAAAGTTCTTTGAAATTTCAAAAGTTTAAGAGATTTTTCAAAATTCAGTCAATTTTTTTCTACTCTTTTCCAACTGTCTGTTGATTAATTTTTACTGTTACCTGCGTGTAAATCGGTCGCATGATTTTCTCTGAAAGCCATACATTTTTTTTTGAAATTCGAAAGTTGAAGTTTCTAAGGCAAGTCAGTGTATTCTTTTTTGTTTGCTTGCCTTCATTGGCTCTTTTCCAATTGTGTGTTGGCTATATTCTGTAAATTGAAATAGTTTTAAGGCCATCAATTGTTGTTTCATTGAAATTCGAAAAGTGAGGTTGTTTCATAGAACAAGTAAGTTATTTTTTAATTATTAATTTGGGCGGAGGTCCAGATTCGAATTAGTAGTCTCGAGTTGCGAATTTGAGTTTGGGGCGCATTTTTCCGTTTTTTGCTTGCGTTTGAGAGGTTGAGATTCGCCTGTTTCCCCTTTGGTATCGCTGTGTTTAATGAGTCAAACTGTATTAATAAGTTCGTTTTCAAGTATTTTGACTAGAATTTACAAGTTACTGATATATTGAAAAATCCCATCTTGGGAGAACAGCAAAACGACCTGTTGGCTGTCTATCAAGTGGTCTTTATCTGTGGCCTTTTAGTTGAAAGAGAAGCAAAAGTGGGCTATGCAGCAGAGTAGTATGACCAATGGCTTATCGGGGACGGAATCAGCCAACGTAAGCTCTGATGCAGACAGTGGCCTGAATGAAGAGGAGCCACCGGTGGAGACAAAAGAGTCATTCGAGCAGAAGACGAAGCTGCTTGCAAAGAGCGAGCAGCAGAATGCCTTCTCCCAAGCACTGGACTATCTCACCCAGATTGTCCAGTTGCAGATGCCACTCCGTACTCCTGTCTACAGGTCTAGAATGTCCTCCAAGACCTACAGCTCAAAGAGGCTCGTTGTTTTTTTAAATACTCAATTTTTTCAGCGTTGCATCCAAGAGTTGGGTAATTTCGTGCTTGCATGTTTAATAATCAAATGCCTGCAAAAATTGGCAATACCTTGCTGATTTAAAATATTAGCCGGAAAAAAACGAGCCGAATTGGAAATTTTAAACGCGTTTTTCTCAAATTGGGTTGAAATCAGACGAAAACTGAAGAGAACAAAAGTTGCGTAGATTCTTAACAAGAATGAATATGTTGAAATATATTTTGCGAAACTCGGATCCATAATTATACCCTAAAAGAGTCATTTTTGGCTTCTTTTATTCAATCAAAAAGTACACCAAAAGTACTGGAGCAACTTATGAGCAAATTATATCAAACCTCATATTAACTCCAACAAAATTTAAGGGGGATATGTTTTCCAAAAAAATGCTTGAAACGTTTTAAAACTTTTTTAAAATAATTTTTGTAGTAATTTGACTATTTAACAAAAATATATTCATTAATAAAAATTTTGAGAAATTATGTAGTCCTCCATTTTGTCCGGTTAATATAAATCAGCAGTGTACTGCTTTATAATGTACAGTTATGAGTTGAGTGTAGCCAATACGGAAGTTTGATTGGCCAATACTACATTGTCTCGCAGATTAAAAGAATTGCTCAAAAGTTAGTTGTAATAGTCGGATGTTTTTGGCTGTAAAAATAGGAATAGGATAAACGAACAATACTTATGAAGCCTTGAGTTGTTTTTTTTTACAGTGGAGGTGGAGAGAGTGGTAGCACGGGGAGGGACGAGGACGACAGGGAAATGGGTGGGAACGAAAGCAGTCCGGGGGAGATAGAGAAGTTCCTCTCTCGCTTCGTGCAAGATGCCATGGAGAGCACAGAGTGCAGCAAGGAGTACACGGAGAAGGCATTCGCCGAACTGCACAGTAAGTTGAGATGCTTGAAGATTTTTTCACAAGTAGCCTTTAGTTGGAACTAGACTTCCTCATGGAAAACCATTTTTCTTACAGATAAGAGAGGTAAGAGCGGCGGATTCGCTCCTTGTACCGCTTACTGCTACCACTGCTTATAATGACCACCTTATCGCAATCCAATCCTGCTACCGCACAATACCTGTTTTAGTGTTGACGAACGAAATGAAAACCGTTATTTAGGTCGGGCGGTTTTTTTTCAGGAACATATAGTTTTTCTCGCTCAAATTTGAGTTATCGCGGTTTGACTGATTTCTCTGACAGTTTTTACACGAGCATGGCCTAGTGTAATAGTTTGATGCAACTTTTTTTTCCAACCTAAGTGGCAAATAAAAGCGCTACTTTTGATGGCGCTTTTGAGTTATTGGGCTGCAATAGCGGTATATTTACATGCGCTTTGACATTTGATTAGTAATAACTTAACACAATTGATGCGTTTTTAATTCATCAATTGATCCGAAAAAAGCTAGTTGTTTCATACAACAGTTTAATAAATAAAATCCCATTTCAGAAGTTTTCCAACTCGATGAACTTCTCGAGATTTTTGAAATGCATGATTCATACGCAATTGGGTGTAACACATTCTAATTACACTAGCAATTATAGTATGAGCTATCTTTTTTTCCGACCTAAGTCGCAAATATTGTTGCGATAAAATGTGTTGATTTTGAAAGAGTTCATTTTGATCAATAACCAACTATTAAGTACAGCCAATGCTAAGGATTTTAACACAGACTGTTTTTGTTCCGACTTTCGTAACGAAATTCGGAATATTTGTGCTCGGATTGTTTGCTTTCTTCAGACAAATTTCGACCTTTTAACTAGACCTTTATGACGAGTTTTTTATCATTAAAAAATTGTTGTTGTCGTGAGCCTAAATTTGGAAAGATATTTCACCTGTGATCATTTTTCGTAAAATTATGGGGGTTTAAAATTGGCCATTTTGACCAATTTGGGACAATTAACGCGAGAGATATTTCGCGCTATTAACGCGTAAGCTGAGATTTAATCCGTGCTGAGATTTAATCCGTCATAGAAATCGTTCCAAATTGGGTGAAGGAAGCTTATTTGCCATAATTGGTTTGTTACTAGGAGTGAAATTTATCACTTTGTTCTTAATATGGCGTGTGGGGGGATGATTTTCACAAAAAATCTGAAATTGAAAAAAAAATTCATTTTTTTTATTACATTTAATGTTTTTTTTAAAGATTCCATGGACGTGGTGAAGACTCTTCTATTGGTCTTGGTGATTAAGTTCGTTTGTTTTTTTTCAGGAAAGAGCCTTAGAATGCTCTCAAGTTACAGAAGTTTTTTCATACATATAAAAGACCTTATCGATGCACTTAGGTCTATATGCACTTTTTGAATTCTTTTCAAACTCATCTGCTAAAAGTTGAGAAAATTGCACTCTCCAATTACGAAAGTGGCAATGGTGCAAAACATTGTGATCGACTTCTCATTTCGGAAACGCAAAAAATTACCTTTTGACCCAATTTTTAAGACTCGGTGAACGTAGTTCAGACTCTAGAGGTCGTGACTTTTCATGTTTTTTTTCCATGAAAATTCTTAAAATCCTCTAATTTTTAACAGGTGCATTCATGCGTCTTAATGCGTTTTTGAATGCTTCAAGTTGTAAATGCAGTATTTGAGTTCAAATTAAGTTCTTATGCTAAAAGTTAAGCAGATTGTATTTCACGCTCACGTTTGATCATTTTTTTGCGGTTTGACCTATGATCTCTTATATTTTCACTTTGTTTTCTTTTGTTAAAGGAAGGCCAACTCCTTTATCGAACAGCAAAAGTGAAATGGTAACTAAAAACATGAATGACATATATTTTCCAAAAATGTCATTAGTTGTCAGAATTTCCAGCGCAATGAAAAAATAGCTATTGATCCGGTTTTCTCTTAATTATAAATAGTTTTTAAACAACTTGTTTTTACTGGTTTCCTTGTTCTGTTTTCACTTTTACAACTGCCCAATGGCTATATTTTACTTTGCGAAAGGAAAGGATAATTGATCATTGAAGTTCTATACTGATTTGAGTGCGGCGTTTACCGGATCTATACTGATTTGAGTGCGCCGTTTACCGCTACGCTACATTCAAGGATCAAAGTTAATTTTTCTGAATGTTTTTTTTTCGAGTTCGTAAGTTCTTCGAGTTTTCTTAATTTTACAGCCTTAGGGCTTAATTGCATAAGCTGAATTTCCTGCTATAGCTTTGTTTTTCTATTGGTTATTTGAACATGTGTATGAGTTAGCACAGATGTCAAATTTTATATCGAATTGAATAGATCTTCATGTGTAGCTATTAATTTTTTTCAACGGGGAGTGTATAGAAGAATAGGTTCTCGAAAGCTTGAGAAGGTTCATCGAGAATTAAGAAATGGATTGCTGAAACGGATATAAAAGATTGCTGAAAAGATTGTTTGGAAGCGTAGATTAAAATTGGTCGTGGAAAGTATGACAAGGTTTATCAAGAATTACAGAATAGATCTCAAATGTTTCTTGACCATTTAGCTTCGAAGCTTCTCTCAGCTGAGTATCAGCTGTTTTTTTTACTGCTGCCTGCCCCTGAATCGGTACCGTATAAAGAATTTGAACAAGCTTTCGGTGCCGAAAAGATTTTCGACTATAAAAACTGATTCCGATTCTTTCGAATTGCTTCTGTTTGACGTAATTGAAGTGAATCGATTCAGACAACTATTTATACCAGTTTAGAAACTGTTTCTTAATTAATAAAGCTGTTTAAGACTAGTTTGAGCTGAAGTTGCTCTCTTCCACGCTCCAAAAACAAACGACAAAAATTGACAATTATATTTTTTTTGTAAATTTTTGCAAATGTAAATGTGATCTGAGAATTTTGTAATATTTCACAGCAACTGTTTTTTCCTATTCATTTTTGTATATTGTAGATATCATGGAACAACAAGCTCAAACTCTCTCTGAAATCTACACTGCAGCCAAGGAGGGCGACGATTCTGCTTTCTATCCGCAGAAGTACAGGCCAGTGCTGTTGCCGAAGGAGGACTACATACCCACAGCTACAGAACTAGGAGGGGAAGAGGGATTGCCCATCCGCCTGCTAGCTGATGTGAAGACACTCACCAATCCACTCAATGGCGACCTGCCATATCTGCCAGCCAATGGTATACAGTTTGATTGAGGGCACATTTTTTTATGCGTGTTCCACAATAGCGTAGTGAGAAAAATTGAATTTATTACGAGTAATGAGCGTAGTGAAGACTCGTATGTGGATCTTGGTGATTTTTTTGTTTTTGTTTTTTAAGAAAAAGTCTTAAAATGCTCTAATAACTACAGATGTGCATTCATGCATTATAATGCATTTATGAGCGCACTTAAGTAATTTAATTTGTAGATTTCCCAGTTAATTTGATGAAAAAAGCAATTAAAAAGGTCCTTGAAATTCAAAGAGCTTTAAGGGCATATTTTTTCTTTTAAAACTACAACTTATCGTCTTCGTTTTTCTGACTTTAATCGTGGTGTTATTTCGAGAATATTGCGAGAGAAATTAATTCGAAGAAAAAGGGCTCTCTTTGACTATCCCCCTTCTATGGTACCTAGTAACAAATCTCCCCATCCCTATAATGATAATGATACAAATCAGCGGTTAAGAATATGAGATTTTGAAACTAGTAATGAATCTCCCCCCTTTTTGGAAAGGGGGGAATACTTGAAGAGATTCGAAAAAAGGATTCAGATTTTTTTATAAGATTGTATGTTAACTTTAACAGGCAACATCTATCTGACCAACTACAGAATCATAGTGATAGCCCACCCGAGACATGTTTTGACGTGTGACCAGCTCATCCACAAGTCCTTCCCCATTTCCATGCTGCTCAAGATGGAGAAGGTAGAGGAGAAGATCAGAGCAGACTCCACTGCGGCTACTTTAAAGGAAGTCACCTTCCACAGAAAAGTGTGGCAGTTTGTCTTCTCCAATTTCCAGGTACCAACGAAAAATGCAATACTTGTCAATGACATATTTCCAATTGTAAAAGTAGCAAATGGACTAATGGGTGTCTATTTTAGTGAAGTCTAGCTATATGTTGACTCATTGTGAATTCAAATTTTAGTGACTCTTTTACTATTCCATTCGGAAGAGTTCTGCAATTGGAGCAATGAACTGTCGTTTAAATATTGTTCCAATGGATGCTGTTGAAGAGCATTGTGATCAATCGACTGGTTTTTGAGTTTTATATGAACTGTTTTGTTCCTTATATTGATTTTCTAGACGATGGAGTTTACTTCGATGCGGTAATTGATAATGAAAGGCTCGTTGCCTTGTGGTAAAATACCGCTTTCCTTTAACGTGTTCCCAGCTTTTCAATTTTCATTGCCCATGTCTTAAGTTTTAACGACGGTTTTTTTCATATGTATGATAATGTTACAGGAACCTTATGTTCCTGATACTATGTGTCTTTTTTTCATGTTTTAGTTAGTGACATGTCCATCTTCATGAGTCGGAAATGGACATGTCACTTACTACCACTTGCTTAGCATACTTAATTCTTACCTGTCAAAACGTTACGAAAAAGCGGATGGTAAATAGTAGCCTTAAATTAAACAGGGAAGAAATTATTTACTTTAGATGCTTATTTGCAAGTTCCCTAACTCAAAAAGAGGATGCTGAGCGTCATGATGAGGCGTAAAATCATCCCGTTTTTTGCTATTTGATCGCCCGGTTGACGCTTAATATCATTATATTTCAGGTACTGCGAGTTGTATTTGACGCGGACATAGCGCCTCACATGAGCGACAAGCGAGCAGAGGCATTCGTGGACTCGGTGAAGGAGTTGCGACGATGCAGCGACAACTACGTTTACTCATTCATGCCCCCCTATCTCTTCATCTCCTCGGGTGGATGCAACGGGGGTTCGGGCAGAGAGTCGGGCTACTACGAGGGACGGGATCTCCTTCCAAATAAACCTAAGAGCAAAACGGCCAAGTTAGTTTCATCAAGCACCTGAAGCTAACTAAGTGATTTATTTTGTGAAATGGCGTCATGCCCATCAATGAGCAACTCATCTGAGCACGCTCTTAAAGTGCTAGATTCAAACAAGCAGCTACCGTGATAAAAATGCAGTAGTTCTAAAGTCATTAGTCATGGATAGTCATCTTCTGAGCAAGTTGATCTTGTTAGTGGAAAAAACTTGAGAAACCGAAACTGTGGTGCTCCGAAAGTGAGGTATCAATTCGGGAATCAATTTAAAACTCACTTTATAAAGAATACTACCTACATATTTTTTTTGCTCCGTCCCTTCTTTCTCCGCATTTATTTTGGTCTGCTTCGGTGGTGGAAATCGATTTCATCCATTTCGCTGTAGCTTTCCGCGTGCCTAGGACCTTTGGGCTTGTTACTACCTTTGGCCTTGCTTCCGTGGCGGAGATAAATGTCATCAATTTCGCCGTAGTTTAGGAACACTGCATGCCATACTATAAAATACGAGCTAGTTTTGTGTGGACGAGACCCGTTTTATGAACCCAACCAACGCAATGTAAGGGGGCTGATAAATTATGGTTGTAATCAATAGGGCCAATGATTCGAAGCAATAATGAGCCGTGCGCGAACAGTATATTGGTTTAAATTGCAAATACGAAGCATGCTCATTGGTAACATGGTTTCAATTTTACAGTACCATCCGCTCTTCAACCCTTCGGTTTGTATCACTCATTGTGACTATTAAAATACTACATCTATTAACCAGTCGATTGTCAAACATGTGTACGGTTTATTATAATATAGTTACCTAATTGAAATTAATTGTCACCCACTGGAGTCCAAATAATTAACAGCCGTAAAGCAAAGTCAGATCCCTTGATAGTGGTTTGGATCTACTTAACAATCCCCCCCCCCCCCCTATTGTATCTACTAAAGAATCTCCACCCCTTTAAATAAAAACAAAAAATTCGCACTAGAGCGTTGTATGTAAATTCGAATTTTGCTGCATTCTGATTGGTCAAAAATTCGCTGCAAGTAATCTACTTAGCAATCTCCCCCCCCCCTTTTTCTTGAAGGGTAGGATTGTTAAATAGATCCAGTGGGTTTATTGGAGATCACCTTATCGTGGGAAACTAAATGAAAATCAGATCTTTGTAAACTACATGTGATGAATACTTTTCTCGCTCATTTAAAAGCAGGTTATTTAAAAGCAGATTCCTGAAACTGCAGAAAACGTTTTAAAACCCTGATTACGCAGGTTTTAATTTTGTGCAGTTATATTTTGAACATATTAGCAAACTATAGTAATTTTTTTCGACGCTAGAATAACTAGAAAGTCATCTTGAATTTTTACTTCGAGAAGCCTTAGCTCAAATCGAACCACATGGCTATATTCTACAATATGGTTCTTTTCTTCGAAGCTTTCCAGCAAATTATAGCACCCTTTGCTCAAAATACAAAAATCACAGGGGGTGGAGGGTTTTTTTTTGGTATTAGCTTGAGGGAATGTAATGGGAAAGTGCCTATAATGGGAAAGTGCCATATTGTCGATCCTGGCTTAAGCTATTGAGCGCACAACATGCTTAGTGAGCTTTTCATGATGAATTACTAGTTTGCGACTGAATTAAGTATTTCTTGTTTTCTTACTTTAGGCTTCTCTCAGTGCCGAAGACATTGCGTACTTTTGGAGGAGGTATCAGTGCAAGCTATCATCAGCAAAAGAAGACTCTGGGTCTGACTTTAGCATCAACCAATGAGCTAGATGACGATTTTGGTGAGCATAGTAAAAATTATAGTGTGTTAATTTATAGGCCAGGACAAATGTAGGGTGTTCACATTATCAAAGAAAGTGGGTGTGGTGTGCTAATAATCAAAAAAATTTTGTAGTTTTTGAGAAAGCAACACATACAGATGCGCGATTTTTTCCAGGAATTATCAATTTTTATGAAAGAGCTCACTTGTTTTTATATCAATCAGATACCGTGCTGATTTAAATTATCCGGACAAAAGGCATAAAACTTGAAATTTAAAAAGTATTTTTTTTGTGTATAAAGCCATATTATTCGAAAGATCCAAATTTTTTAGTCGGTTTTTTCGAAAGTCCGTTTTTTTTAGTTACCTTGCGTTCATTGACTCTTTTCCAACTATCTGTTGGCTATATTTTATTGTGCGTTTGTGATGGTTTAGACAATGACGGCTTCACCATGCGTAGCTCCAACAACGGAGGCTTCCACTCGACTCAAACTCTGGAGAGACTGGAGAAGACACGTCTGGTGCAGGACTACCTCCGTCTCCATCTCGGTTCCTCCCTCGCCGACAACAACTCCACCCACACTTGGACTAAGACTGTCAAGTTAGGTGGGTCATTTTATATCATACAACGTGCAAAGGTTAGTGAAACTAACCAAATTAGCGAAATTAAGATCAAATTTATTTTTATTTTTTAATCGGCCGTTTAGAAATGACTGCGACTGGGAGTTGTTCCTAATATAAGTCGCTCATTTACTTGCAATTTTTGTGCAAAGTTTTGTTGTCCAATTTTTTGTGCAACATGCGCTATTTGCTCTATTTGTACACTAGATCTCTGAGCTTTCTAAGACGTATTAACAGAATTGTGTACAATTGGCTGGATAAAACTTTTTTTAACGAAAGTTTTGATAGTAATACGGGTGCACCAAATAATTTACTTGATTAGGCGGAAGTAGCAGTAGTCATAGTGGGGCAGGGGGAAGTGAGAAGAGACATGGTGGTGTGGGAGGCTCCGACTTCAAGATATCAGCGGTCAACTCCAAATACGACTGCTGCGAAACGTGAGTTATAAGCTGTTTAAAGTTGTGATTGACGATTTTTGTCTGGGATTGATTAACAGTATACATTTTGCTCGATCTAATTCGCAGGCATAGTCGATAATGTAGTTGTCGGCTTTTTTGACAACTTTGAGTGAATGACGATTATTGATTTTAGTACGAATTTTAATTTTTGTTTTCCTCTCGTCATTCTAAACAAAGACAGTTATATGAAATTGTTGTGGAAAACCAAAGTTTTCGGGGTCTGTGCAAGTCACAAAACCTAAATTGATTAAAGCAATTATGTAATCGCAGCAATTGGATTTTTGGTTTCTCATTGTTTATGATGACATCAGTTTTGTTCAAATAGTTAGTTTTATTCAAACTTTTTGAATTGGGCCTTGCATAAAGTCAGCGTAGCTTGATTTTAATTGATACACTTGCTGTTACTATCGGTTTCAATGTTGATTTGCTGGTGTTGAATTGGGTGTAGGTATCCGGCATCCCTGGTCATTCCGGCGGCTGTGAATGACTCCATCCTCGGTGCTGTGAAGATGTTCTACCGCACCCACCGTCTCCCAGTCGTCACTTGGAGAGACAGGAAGGGCAATGGGTCACTCCTCATCAGGGCCTCCTGCCTCATCAACTCACGCAACGTCTTCACACAGCCATTCAAGAAGACACACAACCCACAACGTCAGTTACTTAATTATACAACACATACTACAATCTATTGTCATAGTTTTCTACTGAAAATGGTTGTCACTTCGATTAGTGCAGAAGCGTTCCGGTAAAAAATTTATTCATTGAATCACGCATTTAAGTATGATAGCCAAATCCTTACATGATCGATTTTTGCAAACCCATAGTAGAAGATTCAAAGTTTGACAGAGAAGCTCAGATTCGGTTTAAGCATACTGGAAAGGAAGTATGACGAAGAAAATGATCAACATCTATAAACCGTATGAAAAAATTGAAAAATGGCGCATAATATAGCTAATTCTGAAGCCATCCATATTCTCTCTAATATGCGACGCAGAAGGGTTCAGCAAAATAAAAAGTGCTTCTGGTAGGATTTCGGTTGAGTTAAGAAATGAGGGACTGTGCTAAAGAAGCCGTAGATTTTTTCATTAAAAACATCAAATCCGTGTACGCCCCGCCCCGGCAACGGCTTTGATAACGTCCAAGTTTAGCGAAACAGGAATTCAAAAATCAATCTCTAAACCATTTCAATGCTCAAGTTAATTTCCAAATTGAATCAGCTGCATATTTCTCATAAGATAGATTTTTACATTTAAATTGATGTTCACAGACTTCTATTGATGAATCTTGCTCAGCTCTAAAATCTGCTCATGGTAGTTTGCAAATATTTTTTGTAGTTGTGTCTTATTGTTTTTTTAACTCTTTTTGCCAAGACTTTTGTTTTTTTATCCTGAATATTAATCTGGAGGATTATCACTTTATTGCATGCCTGGTCTTGATTTCTATAAAAGGCTGCAGAACGTCGAAAAACTGAAGAAAAAAACTTTATATGAACATTGATCGACTCGTGGTTAGAAAAAAGATTTAAAATTCAAAATCTATTGATTCTTCTAGTCAGTCAATTAAAGCCTTTAAGACCTTTCATTTATTGTTCGAGTGAATGAATCCAAGCTAAGTGCTTATGAAACATAACGAACGTTTTAGAAGTTGAAATTGCATCATAAAGCTGTGTAGGGTCTTGGCTCTTTTCAGAGATATCATATCTATCATGCTCACCATTTCAGATAACCGTAGGATGTGTAAGTCAACTTATCTGTCTGTTCTCATTAACCAACCAAATGTTACCTTTTCCTCATGTGCGTATTAAAAAAATGCTTGAATGTTTTTGTACTTGCGAGAACAAGTGTGTTGCACTTGGGAATTGGACTTTTTGCCCGTAAACAAATATTCTGACAAATATGTTTAAGTAGTACAACTCGTTCTACTCAACTGTGCGTCTGTGACTTCACACACAATTGCATTTTATGTACATGTTGTATTCGATATTTTTTGTTTTTTTTTTCGTCTCATTTTCTGTTGGCTAGCTTCCAATACTATGTTTGTAATGTATCTCAAGTGTTCCGAAGCTTATCTTCGTCTCTTTCATTATTTTCTTGCATAAATAAATTTTTGAAACCAATTTTTTTTAAAGTTTATCTAACTGTAGAATGACTGAGTTGGTTCGCAGCAACTCTGCCATGACAGGTCATGTTTTTCGCTGTACCGTTACTCAAAGTTGGCTCATTTTTATAATAAATAGTACCAAAACGAAAAATGAGCTTTTCTTTTGCGAGAAAAAAAATAAATGGAAAAGGTATGAAATTTCGTACATTCGTTTGAGCTTTTTGTAGTCTTGGTTTTTCTAATTTCTTATCGTAGAGCTATTTTATGCGGTTCCTTGGCCTATGCTTGCGAAATACAAATTCGGTCATGTGTCTCAATTTATTCAAAATTTATTCAGATGTTGCTTCTACTCTAAAGGTCAAAGAAAAACATCTTCTGAAAAAGCTATTTTAACGATTTTACGGCCGGAGTTTCTTGCCTCTGGGACAACATGTGATTGCTCCACCGCCGGTTAGCTTGGGCGACTAGTACAAAAAATTTTAAAAGATTTTTTTTATAACAAAGCATTGACTTTTTGTAAAACAAAGGTGTTTAAAGTATAAAACGAGCCAGTATCCCATTGCCTCATATTTGGGATCATTTGCAGCAGGTCGAAGATATATAGTTTTGGTCAATGCAGGTATAAAATGCTGCCAAGCGTTTAATTAAGAGTCATGATCGTAGTGAATACTCTCATAAAGGTCGCGATGTTTTTTAAAGTTTTTTTTAGGAAAAGTCTTCAGGCTCAAATGTGTTTCTTCGCGGGTTGATATTTGCCTTCTTTTTAAGTTTAGATTGTTTCTGTTTTTCAAAGGAAGGCTGAATCCACCATTGAAAAGCAAAAATGTAAAAGTAACTTAAAACTTGATCTACTTCTAGTTTCGAATTTTTTTTCAGATTTCCCAGCGAAATGAAAGTTTTTCTGAATGATATAGTTTTCTCAAATTTTGTTATTTCTATCAAAAATGAGTCATAATAAATTGTTCTAGAAATTCAAAGTGTTTTAAGGTCATCATTTTTTTCTTAGAAATTCAAAAGATGAGGTTATTTCAAAAAAAATAAGTCAGTATTTTTTTGGTTACCTGAATTCATTGACTTCTTTTTAACTCTCTTTTCCACTTATGTTTCTTTACGCTTGCGTTTAGCAAGGGTTATCAAATCGGACTAATATTTTTTTTTCTAGTTACCAACTAGTTAAACCAAATCAGTTGAATCAAATATATTTATCAATTGCATAAAAATTCAAATTTAACTACCGTATGCAACTCGAAATTTTGTATGTATAATTGTAGATTTCCGCTGATAATTTTCTGCCGATGACTTTTCGGCTTCATTGTCGTCAACTTAAGCTCTGTCGGTTTAGTTTCAAAATTATCTAGTTCCTGTTTGATAAAAATAAGTATAAGGGAAATATATGGATTCGATTTTTTTTGTTTTTTGGAGAGAACTCCCATTCACCTGTATGCCTGCATAATCTTCTAGTCTCTTTTTTCTTTACTTTACTTTCTACAAGCTAGCCAACAGACTGCATAAAAATGTGTGGGGGGGGGGGGGGGGATTTTTGACCCATAAATTTTTTTACTTTTTCTCAAAAACTACCCTTCCAATTTTGAGATTTTGGATTCAATTGAGAGAACAAGTCGCAAGAAGCTCCCCTGCATTAGCGATACGCGCATAAATATCGCCCTCGGAAAAGTCAAACTTTCGATTTTTTAACCGTGTTTTGGAGCTTTTTTGACTTTTCTCGAAAACTACCCACCCTAATCTTAACTTTTTGGGTTCAATGGATGGAGCAGGTTGTTGAAGCTCCCCTGCCTAAATGGAAATTTCCAAAGTTTTTAATACAAAAAATAATGGCCCTCGGAAAAGTCAAAACTTGATTTCTGGACCGTTTTTTCCAAGTTTTTGACTTAAATCGAAAACTACTCTTCCAAATCTGAACTCAGGGGATCAGTGGAGAGAATAGGTTAATTGAATCCTCCGTGCATAAACGGCTCTGCCCAATTTGTTGACATAAAAATTTATGGCCCGCTGAAAAATCAATTGTTGACTTTTTTGAACACTTTTTTGAATTGTTGACCAATTTTTAAAATTTTTTTTTTTAATTTTCGTGGAAACTACCCTCCTAAATCTGAGTTTTTGTTTTCAATCGAAAGGTACTGTGGAACGCTCCCTTGCTTAACCGGCTCTGCCTATTAAAAGAAAAGTTATGACCTAAGGAAAAGCCAAAATTGTGATTTTTTAAACCGTTTCTGCAACTTTTAAAACTGCCCTCCTAAATCTGAGATTTTCGTTTCATTAGAGAAGCGAGTCGTGAGAGAAGCTTGTTTGCATTAACAGCTACGCCCAAATGGCTTTTACACCAGAAGTAATGGCCCTCGAGATGTCAAAATTTTGATTTTTGACCGTTTTTGAAACTTTTTGACATCAGTTCTCGAAAGCTACCCTCCTAAATCTGAGGCGGCAAAAACTTGTTGTCATAATTGCACCTAGATTAGTTTTTGGTCCTATTCCCCGCTTTTTGCCTTTTAAGATTTTGTATTTTCAGTATTTTCAAAGTAATAATTTTTTGACCTATTTTTTAGTTAAAAATAAGCTTTCAAATTGTGAATTGTGCAGTTTTTGCTATTTTCGATTTCTTCTATTGCTCATTTTCATGTCAGCACTTATTCTTAGAAAATAGCTAACAATTATTTCCAGGATTATTGGATATCGGCTTCAATTCTATCGGCCTTTTTACCGATTTTCTTCTTAAAGTGTAGTACATTTCAGATCGATAAGAATCTAACACTAATTTTCGACTGCCAGAATTCAACACCACTAGGACTTCTTTGAAACACAAATTCAAACACGTAAAATTGCTTTTTTGTTTTTGAACTTTTAAAAAGTTTTTCCACTTTCTTCTTCAATGGTAGCATTGTTCGAAGTTCTGTTTGCTAATGCTTTTAGCGTCATGGTGCACTCATCCTATATTTATTGTATCGCAAGTGGTGCGAAGCTCAGCTTCGCCTCTGTGTACAAATTCAAAAGTTAAGTTTTTTGTTTGCTTGCGCTCATGTTTCTTTTTCAACTGTTTATTGACTAGGTTTTAACAGTTGCAGTCATATTTCAGTTGATTATATTCTGTTTTGGCAATCTGTCATTTAGCTATTTATAACGATTCGATCAGAATCAGTCCTTTGTATTTTTTGTTCCGACCACTGAAAGAATAGAGGAACTATGTCTTTGGGCGTGTTTTAGTTTTTCTTCTATTTTTCCACTCAAAATCAGGTATTACAAACGTTTATCAAATTGGATTGAGTGATATATCGTATTAAGGACCCCTCTATCGTGATTCGAACGAATCAAAAATTTTCAGAAAGTATTTTCAGTGTCGAGGAAAACCCGTTAACTTCTTAGCGTAAATCGAGCGAGGAAAGCAAGTGAGAAGGTGTCATTGTTGGAAAGGCTTGCGTTTATGCCGTGAAAGTTTAACTTTTTACTCAAAAAATAAAAATACATTTTTTCTAAAATTCTTTAACTTTTCGCAGGTTTTTATTGCGTGGTAAACGCAAAATGAAGCTCCTTAAACTGAAATTCCTGGAGTAAAACTAAAATTTTGAAAATGTTCCTGCTCCAATACATCGCTTGCTTTACTCGCTCGCTCGAGATTGCGCTGAAAAGCTAACCGGTTTTCTCTACTGAGAATACTTTCTTAAATTTTTCGTTCGAATCACGATTGGAAGGGCTATAATACGATATATCACTCTATCCTGAATTCAACTGTTAACAATTTTTATTTATTTTCTAACGCTCCAAATTAATTTTTCAAGGATTCTTTCCTCTCATCCTACTACGCACAATAAACTACAAATTTGGAGAGAAAAAATGATTTCTATTTTTAAGGTTTTAGTCGTCGAACTTTCTGTGCTAATTGCACAGAAACCAGCTACTGTTTGAACGTTTTAGAATTTTTAAAATTGTTAGTCTAGCTGTAACCGATGCGAGAAAGTAGTCAATTTTAGTTTATCTTGCGAAAAGTTGAAGTTAAATCAGTTTAAATGTTTTTTGTGTATTGGTGCCTTTTTGCAGTGTTTTCTTTATTTAGCAGTGCAGAGTGCGCACGAAGGCTACCCAGTTGGGGGCGGTGGAGGAGGGGGAGGTGCGGGTGCAACTAAGGAGTTCCGCGAGTACATCAGAGCACTATTGGATGTGATCCCTAAGCCTAGTGGCTGGATCGAATGTGGACTTGCCTCCCCCAATCCCGTCAAAAGGTCCTCACGCTCATCCAGGTAATCAGAGTCATGAACATTAGATTGCAACGTTAAAACGGGCTTTTTAAGTTTAATTTTATTGTAGCATGTACACTCTATTTAAAAATGGAAAATCAAAATAGAGTTTTTCAAAAACGTTTCTTGTGTAAGCAAGGCAGAATTCAGATGGGATTGAAAGTTAATCGTTTATATCGACAGTCCTGAACTCTTAAATCATTAAGTTGATTAGTTTGGCATGTTGTAGGAATTTGATAGAACTGCAGTAAGTGTATCTGTTAAGGGGCTAGGAAATTGAGTATACGGGCTATTGAAGCTACACTTTTTGATGCTACTTCGGTCGAAGAGAAGAAGCTGAAAATTGGCAAGTCGTTATTGCTTGCTCCGATACGCTTAACTTCGACACTCTATTAAAATTGGGGTTTATTGCACCTAATTGAGGTTGCTATGTGTAGAAATTCAACAAAGATTAATGCTAGGTTAATTTTGTTTTCTGCAGTTTGAGTCAGCAATGTTTTTTTTTGTCCGTGATCTTAATGTGTGGGTTCACGATTGTAGGTACTCTATCACCTGTATACTCAATTACCGGTACCCAGCTGTCAAGTGTGCTGCTATCCCTCTCCTGCTGCTGTTCCAGTGTTGTTGTATTTTAATAGCCAAATTACAAGTTAATGTGACCTCTCTTTGGGTTTCAGTTTTGATCTTTGTGGGTACGTTGAACTCTAACGCTCATTCAAAATCAATCAAAGACTGAAATCGAATCAACACTAAACATTTCACATTAAATCACGCACATTAACTCATAGTGCAAACTAGGGGCGGATCTACTCTTTTCTTCAGGGAGGAATCGTGCGAAAATTTGGTAGACGTTTTTTGTTCGACCATAAATAATTCATGATCTCTTGTGAAAGAAATGAAAGAATTTTCGTGGTTGGCCAACGTAAAATGGACGCCATTGAATAGTACTTAACGGTGGACCCTTTGGGTAGTGAGGGTGTCGGGTTCCCCCAAATTCGCCCCTATTGCAGTTAAAGGAAGTATTGGGTTTTCTCATTGCAGAACAAATCCGCCCATTCAAGATTTTATAATTGCGTTAAACTAACTAAATTACTGTTCAGATTTTGACAACCCAGTTCTAATTGGCGAATGAGTTTTCTGCCACTCGTTTCTTCTGTCAATTTGTAATCCCTCACGGCAAAGTGATATTGGATTTTCCTCAAGTAATGAACTGTTGCTGGAAAAGATAGATGAAAATATCTCATGAAAAAAAAATAGATCTTTCTCATCAACAGTTCATTTAAATTAATAGGAAGCATTTTTGTGACTTGTGAATTTTTATCACCATTTAGGAAGCCTTGTTTTTGTTCCTCAAGGAAATGTGGGGACAGATTTTGCCCCTGGACAATAAGTTCGTTTTCGCTGGATACAGTGGAAAGGTTTGTGGCGTAGAGATAGTCACTCGATTGAACTCAAACCGTCAAATGAAATTTGGCAGAGGAATCAATATTGGCTATCATATCAATTAAATGGATGACGATCGTTCTCAGTCCAAATGTAGATGAAAGATGTAGACGTCTTTGTAACGATTTTTCCATTAAATTAAGTTATTAAGCCTCTATGAAAGCTATGAACCCACTTATTTTGGTCGTAGCACGTAAATCGGACGGAATGAAAATATTTGATGCGCAAAGGTAAAAAAAAGGTTACTCCAATGAATTCGCAGTTTTTTTTACATATTTCTTTGGTATATTTTTTTGAATTTTCGACTTCGTCGCTTTCGATTTTCTTTTTGTCGGCTTAGCTTACGCTTTGATTTTACTGAAAATATTTGATGCGCAAAGGTTAAAAAAAAAGGTTACTCCAATGAATTCGCAGTTTTTTTTACATATTTCTTTGGTATATATTTTTTGAATTTTCGACTTCGTCGCTTTCGACTTTCTTTTTGTCGGCTTAGCTTACGCTTTGATTTTACCATCCAACTAAATCGCTTTTTTGAACTTCAGCTTTTTTTAGAATATAGTTGCTTTAGTGCTATGATTTACCTCTACTGTTTCTTTGTAATTTTTTAAACCTTGTAACCTTGACAGCCTATATATATTTTTTTTTATTAAAAACTTCATTCTACCCAAATGATTTCGGCCTTAATTCTATTTGCTTAGTGACCTATTTTCGAGTTATTTCAATGGAAACATATTTTTAATGCTCATCTGTGGGCTGAACAAAATGCTCAACATCATAATAGAAATTATAATTTAAATTTTTCATAACAGCAATTTTTTTGTCACCTTTGTTTTCTTTTTTTTTTCGGCTTGATAGTTTTCGGTCTATATTATATCGGCTTATCGGCCTCATATTGCGTGCTTCGACGAGCGAAAAAAGTGTGTGTGTATGTGCAGGTCTGTGTTTTGAGGGCCAGGGGGGCTTAATAATTTCTTATCAGTCTTTTTTTTTTTTCGTTTTTTTTTTGGGCTGCGTAGGTTTTGGGCTATATTATATCAGCTTAGTTGTCTCAATATTTCATTTAACGAGCAAATAATGTGTTTTGAGGGCGACGGGGACTTTTCATATGTCTTAAATCTTGTTGAATTTTTTCGGCTTAAAAGGCGTCTGCCATGGTGTTTGTTACCGCTTGGGAAATTATCTTCCGATGCTAGTTTCACATTCTATTGTCTCGGCATGTTTTTGTTTCAAAACTAGCCTTAGATCTAATCTGGTTTTTTTGACGTTTTCGATATTTTTGTGTTGTATAGCAAGTGGTTTGAAGCTCAGCTTAGCCTCTGTGTAAATTTGTGTGCGTGTTCATGAGATTGATTCTAAATGAACGAATGAAATATTTACCGGGCAACTACTCTAAAGACTAGTAAACCAGCTGTTTGCGTACAAGATGCATTGTGTAATTGATTTGCAACAATTTTTCCTCAATCAAGTTTCCACGAATAATTTTTTATTGGGCAATCGGGTTTTCTGTATAAAAGTAATATTTCCCTTTGCCCGTTTGTTGTAGATGTTAAGCTCATCTGGCAAAATAAAAAAGATATCCGAAGCTGGAGAAACTCTTCTTTTGATATTTGTAAAATTTCTTAAGCTATAAAAGATGAATAAAAACAAGGATAGCTGGTTGCTGTGCAAATAGCACAGTATGTTCCTATCATAGTCTTAAAAGAAACAAATTAGTTCCGTTTCTTCTGTGTGGTGCGATGAAAGATCTGAACGAAAACAATCGAAATTCGAAATTCATAGTCAAATAGGCGAATTGGGAAATTATTTTTGTAGAAAATGTCTAGAAACACGTAAAAAATTCACGAATTAAAAATTTTAAAATTCCTTGATTTAAAAATGTAGAAAACGTTTGATTTTTTGAAGTTTGCCGAAATGGCGTTTAAAAACTTCAAAAACTAACTTTACTCGAGCAAAACCAAATTTTCACGACTTGAGATAAGTTTAAATGAGCTATTGTACGCCTGCATGCTCACCTTATAGCTCGAAATTAGACCAAAAATCGAAAAAAAAATTCGACACTTAAGTTTTTTAATTTAGTTCGAATCACGACTGAAAGGGTTTTAATATGATAAAATTATGAAAGTAAAATTACGCTCTCCTATTAAGAAAGCGTAAAATTGCGCGAAAAATTGTTCACGAATTTGAAAGTGGATTTTGATTTCCCAGCGGACTAAAAAGTTTCAGTCATTTCCGTTTTCTCAAATTGAGTATGTTTTATGAAAAGCCAATCAGTAAATAATGATGAAATTTAAAAAGCTTCAACGCAATAAAATTCTCCGGACTTGAAAATACTGAAACAAAAGGCAGTCATTGACTTTTGTACAGCTTTTTTTGGTTTTTAATTAAGAATTTTAACAGCATTTGCAACTCGAATTGATTAAATGGAACCAGATCTAAACTACATTTTATTATTGGTTATAAATTAGATATTTTATCACTATAAAGTATTTAATATTAACCAATCATGTAATTTCAGCACCAGAGAGATTTGAATTTAACTTAGAAATTAGTTACCTCTCCAAGAGACCTTTTGGCAATCGCAATAAGCCAGTATACTCTAGATCTATTGAGCCTAGCAGAGACTAGTTAAACACCCTGAGACTAGAAGATATAAGAGTAAGATTAAGATCGGTATTAGACTAAGAAGTTGCACGAATCTATCCGGCCGAAAATAAGATAGCGTGACGAGCAGACGGTGTACCCTATCCGAAATTACTCTATGAGTTAAACCTCGAACATAACTCATAAAGCTAAAAATCATCTCACGTATTTTTAAGATTGGAACGCCGAGTTGTAATGTGTGACAGTAAAAAGTTTTGCAGTATGGTTGTAGGAATAGAAACAGCAAGATATTTGATGCGCTCGAAAAGGCTTAGCAATCAGGCGCGGCATGGATGTTCTCTAGCAAGGGGATTTTTTCAATAATTTTCGAAAAGTCTTTCGGCTTTTTTCTTGAAGCACTCTTGAAACTATATAAAGGCCCTAGTTCGCTACTAAAAAAATTCTGCGCCGCTGGTGAATTTAGAACTAAAGCGTCAAACAAGCCGTTTATGGTTATTCTTTTTGAACGCTTTTAACAAAAAATTACTTATTTATTCCCGACAATTTTTTTTTACATATTGGCGCTCAAGGCTGTTGAAAATTTTAAGGCTTGATTGGTCAAACATTTAATAATTAAAATAAGCCTGAAAGTTATCTTCTTTTTAACAAAGTAAATAAGCCTTTGAGTGTAAAATAAGCCTTTATTAGACGTAATAAGCCTTTGAGTGAATGCCTTCTCCACCTTTGAATCTGCTACTGCATCAAAGAGCTTAAAGGTGTTTTTTTTCTATGAAAAACTCGTAAAAAGATGTTTCTTTTTGTTCAAGTAATTAAATTGTAAGAGTCAATGAAAGAATCGAAGACAATAATTAAAAACGTTTGGTATTTTTGTTTGTTTTATATTTTGATTTTATTTTTTATCGGTTTGACTTTCGATTTCTTTTTATGTTTAGTTCTTTTCCCTTGTTAAGAGCAATGAACGTGGTGAAGACTCTTAGATAGGTCTTGCTGATTTTTTGTTTGTTTTTTTTTAGGAAAAATTCTCAAAATATTGATGCACCTAGGTATAATCCAATTTTTTAGTTCAATTTAAATTCATCTGCTGAAAGTGACGTACATTGCTCTCTCCAAAAACGAACGTGGAAATGGCGCGAAACGCGTGAACGATTTCTAGCTTCGAAAGTGGGATTTTTAAGACTTCCAGCGGAATAAAACTTTACCAATTGATCCAGTTTTCTCAATTTGTTCATGTTATCAAAAAACGCCAATCATAAATTGTTTTTGAAGTTCAAAGAGCTTAAAGGGCATCTATATTTTTCGAAAGTTGAGATTTTTTCAAGAAAGTCAGTGTTTTTTTATGTTTACCTGCGTTCATTACTCTTTTCCAATCTTCGATTGGCTATGTTTGAAAAAAAGGCACTCTCCACTATCGAGCAGCAAAAGTGTAAAAGTCACGTAAAACTTGATTGACTTCTAATTTCGAAAATCCAATTTAATTATTAGATTTCCCAGCTAAATAAATTGTTTACTAATTGATCCAATTTTCTCAATTCGAGTTTATTTTATCAAAAAGTGCCATTTTATTAAGTTTTTTTGAAGTTTAAAGAGCTCAAAGGTCACCTTTTTTTTCGTTGAAATTCGAAAGTTGAAGTTTTTCTTATAAAAGTCTGTCAGTTTTTTTTTCTTGCGTTTAATTTTTGTTCGGGTATTTTTTTTATTTCCTTTTTCTTCCGCTTGATAGGTTCCGGCCTAATTGCCTCTTATTGCGTCTTTTGGCAGGCGAAATTTTTTCAAGCGTATTTTGAGGCTGAGGAAGACTTAATACTACTTTTTATTACTCAAGAATTTTTTTGAATTTTTTCCGGCTTCGTTTTTAATTTTTCTTTTTGTTTTCGGCATGATAGGTTTTTGCCTATATGAAAGCGCCTTAGTAACCTCATATTGTTTCATTTGACAAGCAAAGAAAGTTATGTGTTTGTGTTTTGAGGGTGTGAATTCATTTTGATAAATCTAGTTTTTCGATTTTTTTCGACCCTTGTAAATTCGAAAGCTTGAGATTTTTTCAATTTTTTTTTTGCTTAGTGTTTTTTTTTGTTTATTTGCGTTCATTCACTCTTTTCCAACTGTCTGTTGGCAGATTTTTCTTGTAAGATTTAGCTGAGATTTTTTCAAAAATTTAAGTCAGTATATTTTTATTGTTTATTTGTGTTCATTCACTCTTTTCCAACTGTCTGTTGGCTATTTTGGTATTTTTCAGAATAAACTTGTTCACGCTCAAGTTTGATTTTCCGCGGTTGGACTTTTATTTATTTTTAATTTCAGTTCGTTAATTTTGTTAAAAAGAAGGTAAACTCCACAATAGAACAGTATAAGTCTAAAGGTCACAAAAAGGTCAAGAAAGTTGGCTGTTGTGAAATGGAATGATAACAGGTTCTTGAAGCTTTATTTTTCGAAAGTTGAAAATAACGTCAATCATTATTTTCTTTTGCCATAAGTTCAGTGACACTTTTTCAACCGAATCTGGCTGTGTGTACTAATTACGAAAGTCATTATCGTAGTCACTGTTGAATAGTTGGCAGTTACTCTGTGAACCTCTTTCTGAGTGGCTCTTCTTGATCTTTTCTGCAAGTGGTGCTAAGCTTGTCTTGAACCGTGGTTTAGATATCGTAGTTTTAGGGAATTAGCAAAATTGCCGCCATAACCACTAAAAATCGATGAAAATTATGATGCAACTGGCCAATTTAGAAAATTGATGTTGTTACGCAGCTGTGTTTAAAGTGGTTTTAAATAAGCAGTTTGATCTATTGATTGTGTTCTGTGTAGTCGGACATCAAGTGAGTTCATGGGAGGCCACGGAAGCTATTCGAGTAGTCCGAAGAAGCACGGGAGCAAGATGTCCAAATTGGCCAACAGAGTCACCCACAATCTGGGCACCCTCACTCAGGGCTTCGGAGGCTAGTAGCTACTTTAAAAAAAAAATCTGTAATTTTGTTTTGTTTTGACGATAGGTTTAGAATTGAATAAAGGGCTTGCTTTATAATCAGTTAGATTGAGTTTTAGTGTTTTATAACATATGTTCATGTTTAAAAAGGGTAATTGCATTTGTAAAATGCTGGGATGGCTCGAACCCGCTTTTGCACTGACTGCTTGTATGCGGAAGAGTCCTTTGTGGCTGACCTGATTTCAAATAGCCTGTAGAAAATTTTTTGTTTGATGGAGGCTAGCTGTTTCTAGTATTTTCTATGTCAAAAGATTTTCGAAAGACTTCTTTTTTTACTTTTATTTTAGTTGATCCTTTTTTAGTGTTTTACCATCTTCTTGTCAGATTTTTGGTGAACAGACCTTCTCTAGAAATCACAATAATTAATATTTGAGAAAGCGACATGATATAAACTTGCTGCATTCTCTCAATTTTACTCTTCAGATTATTGGATGTCTCAATTTGTCGTGTAGAAATATCCCATCACTTTAGACATAGTTTTATAATCTGTCTTTATGAAAGAGAGAAGTAGTTAATTTGCCTTTGTGTAATTGTGTTTAATGATTTATTGATGACAGGAGGTAAATTGGGATCCTCTCCGAAGACGCTTTCTGTACCCAAGCGGCTGTTTATGGTCGGAACTAGTAACAACAATAGTTCTAGTAGTAAGTAGACTAAACCACTGCAATTGAATTGCAATTCAGTGTTAGATTGAAATGCGTGCAATTCTTAGAATCCTGCACTGTAGCTCTGAAATAAATGCAAAGCGACTATACTCCCATGGCAGAAGGACCAAATGAGGAAACTTTCCAAGCCTTTAACTTCGGAAACTGTTTGATTTAACCGTTGAATTCCAATTGGCTCATGTACTCTTTAATTCGGTACGATTGCCACGAGGGAGTTGATAATTCAAATGCAAATGTTTGTTGTTGCTATCCTTCTGTGTTGCTTGGCCTGGGTCTTGTTAGTGGGTTTGGTGTGACAATATTTCTATCATAAAATTCTGAATCTTGATGTTTTTTTCAGGAAATTTGATTTTGCGCGGCTTGACTTTGAATTTCGTTTCAATTTCAGTCAATTTCTTTGTTGAAAGCAAGGCAAAATCAACTATCGAACCTTAAGAGTAATGATCAGAGTGAAGACTTTTAAATAGGTCTTGGTGGGTTTATTTTTCACGAAAAAGACTTAGAATGCCCTCATTACTACATAAGCATTCATACATATTCATGCATTTATGTATGCACTTAGAAATATATGCACTTTTTGAGTTCATTTGAAATTCATCTGCGGAAAATTACGTAAATAGAACTCTGCAATTGCGAAGGTGGAAATGGCGCAAAAAACGTGAGCGATTTCTAGTTTCGAAAGTGGATTTTAATTTATAGGTTTTCCAGCGGAATAAAAACTTAGCGTATTCATCCAGTTTTCTCAATTTTGTTTAATTTTATCTGAAATGCACCAATTTTAAATCGTGCTTGAAGTTTGAAGAGCTTTCATGGCATATATTTTTTCTTTAAGTTTTGATTTTTTTTTTCAAAAAAACAAGTCCGTTTTTTTCCTTGCGTTCATTCTCTTTTCCAGCTGTCAGTTGAATATGTCTTGGATTATGATTAAATTTTTCAAAAAACAAGTCAATTTTTCTCGTTATTAGCGTTCTTTACTTTTTTTCCAATTGTCAGTTGATTATGTCTTGGATTTTAATTTTCAGGTTTTCAGTTGAATAAAAAAGCTTTTTGATCCAGTTTTCTCAAATTGAAGTTTTTTCAAGAAAGGGTCAACCATGAATAGGTCTTTAAAATCAAAGAGCGCTAAGGCCCTATATTTACAAGAAAAAAATTTTTAATGACTTTTTTTCCAAAACAAGTGATTTTTTTGTTTCGTTGCATTCGTTGATTCTTATTCAACTATAAGCAACATGTCTGATATTTATAAACATGTCTAACATAAGCAACATGTATGTTTTGACATTAATTTTTGGCTCTCTGGATTTCAAGCTACGTATTTCGGCTTGTAACTGCTACATATTTTTTTTCCAAATACTAGGTTAACGATTTTCATTTTTCTTCTCGTCGTTTTCCACACAGATTCAACTTAGTTCAAGACCAAGGTATTAAAATTTTAGTAAAGGTGGTTTTTAAATTTTTTAGACTGGGCTTTTTGTCACATTTTTGACAGCTAGCTTGCCTTGCTTTGTATGTGTTGTATCGTAAGTGGGGCGAAGGTCAGTGTCGCCACTGTGTTCAGTTTTGAGTTTTCCGATCGGAATAAAAACCATTGAAACAGTTTTTGTCAAGAATGTGTCAGCCATGAAAGACCATGAACATTTTACGTGATATTTTTTCGTCGAAATCCAAAATTTGCGTTCTTTTTCAAAATTCTAAAGAAGCTTCCACCTTTTTTAAGAGCAATGAACGTAGTCAAAACTCTTATATTTGTCTTGGCGATTTTTTTTTGTTTTTTTTTTTCTCAGGAAAAGACTTAAAAATATATTTACGCTCAATTTTGATTTTTTTATATGGGTTTTGATATCTTTCTAATTTCACTTCGTTTCCTTGTTAAGGGAAGGCGAACTCCACTATAGAACAGCAAAAATGTATAGGTCGCAAAAAACGTGATCGACTTCTATTTCAATAATGGAATTCAATTTGTCAGATTTCCCATCGAAATGAAAATTTTACCTATTGATCCAGTGTTTGCCATTTGGGTTTTTTGTCAATTTTATCAAAAAAGCAGGAATCTCAAATTGTTCGTGAAATTCAAAGAGCTTTAAGGGAGTATATTTTTCTTAAGATCGATAGCTGAAGTGTTTTTCAAAAGGCAAGTCAGTTTTAGTCGTTACCTGGCGTTCATTACTCTTTCCAGCTGTCATTTGGCTATTTTTCTATTTTAGATCTTCTCGGCTTATTGCTTAAACCTCTTTTGTCAGAATTTCACGATGGACACTTATTCTGTAACAAATCGTCTTAGATTCAATTGGACGCTATTTGAAATTCATTAAAGTCCTGATACGGATATAGTTTCGAAATCGGAATTTTCAGATTTCCAAAATTTGTTCGAGAAA